GAGAGTAAACTTTGTCTGTCAGAACCATGGCATTGTAGAAAGCTTATGTTTCTACACCTAGCTAAAACATTCTCTTCTTGGGATGTAGAACCTCTCTATAACCGATTTAGGATGATGCATTCTATACTTTGTTAATGTTGTGCGTACCATGATGTTGAGGTTTTCAATATCGGTTTGAGACCAATGCATTACCCTAAGGGAATACCAAAGGATTAGCACACACTAGAAATTAATGCCTTTATCTTGTATGTGGCAATACATTTTTTCGGAGGCGTAATTTGAACATTTTTTCAACATAATGCTTGGTGGATTTGTGATTTATTGTAAGAGTTTGTCTAAATCGGTGGTTTTGATTGTACAATGTGAGGACAAGGGCTGTATCTTTTATTCCTCTTCTTCCAAAAGTGTGAGCGCCTTGGGCCCATTGTCAACCCTTCCTTTTATTACATTCAAGGTTGCGCATATTTTGATGCCCAAATGCATCTAGATTTCATCACTGAACATAGCAGCGATATTTACAGGCTTGTTAATTCCACATCATTACTAGTTATCATCATTATTATTACTATTACTATTATTATTATTATTATTATTATTATTATTATTATTATTATTATTATTATTATTATTATTGTTGTTGTTGTTGTTGTTGTTATTTTTATTATTTCCATGCTTCGCAAAATTAATTGTGCAATTTTCAAATTATTCAGGTACTAAGTATTCAGGCTACCAAATCCCTTTATACATTAAAAGAATATTAATTACACTTTTTTCATTTCTAATGACTTAATTAACGTCAATTCTATGAAACAGAAGTACTGTGTGTACTGAGCGAAATATATTCCTGTTTCAACATACTACTTAAGCATTTGTACATAGTGTAAGGCGTCTAATTACAGCATCTGCAAGAAAGAATAGAAGTTGGACTCAGAGTGTGTCACTCCAACTTCATACTCCTAGATTCCTGTAGCCGTCGCAGAGATCTTTCGATTTGCACGGTGGGGAGGGGAGGGGTGATGGAACGTGTGCGGTCAGACCGTCCGTCCGTCCGTCCTTGTAACTTTTCCCCTTAGCTCCCTCGCAACAGGGCGCAGGAGAAGGGAAGTTGAAAACTCCAGTGCTTGAAACTTGGAAACGTCAGCTCCTTCAGTGGTGTTCGGAGACTTCAACCGCATTTTACAGCGTTCCGGGCGCTCTTCCCGATCGGCATACCAGCAATCTGTCTTAAAACTATTGGGATTCGCTCTCCTGAGACACAGCATTTTCTTCGCCCCCTTTTTTACCAAGTTTGTCGACAAGTATATTTTTCCACCTCCGAATGGTCAGTTGAAAAAGACAAAAGAGCTAAAGTTGAGTTGATCCCTATTTTCCAGGTAGCCCAGTGACCCCTTTTGAACGTGAATAAGGAAATAAAAATCTCACACTATCCAGGATTCGAATCGACCAATAAAGAAGGGTAAAAATTATTGAATTAAATAGTATGTATGTACATCTACATAATTAGCAAGCAGATGTTCTTATTATCACAACTAAACGCGCTTATTCTTATTACTACGCGCTTCCCACGAAGAGCAAGAATGAGCCCAAGGAGTCAAAGATTCTATAGCATAAAATCGAGGATTCCAATGTCTTCATCGACAGTTCTATCTTTTATGAAAACTGTTATACCCTTGGAACCATCGGGTTTGTAATAAATTGACATGACACTTGACATCCATTAAATTCGATACCTAAATCGATCATAATTCGTAAAACTGATCAAAATTCAAATAATTATTTCTCTTTGAAAATTGAAGACGTATTTGAATTAATATTTAAAATCGAAATAATTGAAAACGATATTTTTAAGAATATCTATTGGATAAAGCGTTTTTTGAAATTATTCAGTAATTCTTCTTATTCAATATCAAATTGGTCTACATTATTCTGAATTTGAAACATAAGAAATTATTAAGCACTTCCGTTAAAAAAAATCTCATGATATATTAAGTCACGTCTTCTTGAATAAGACTAAGATTATTTTTCTCTGTCATCGGCAAATGAAGCATTTGTTGCCATTATTTGGAGATTTCTATTATAATGTCAAGTATTCTTCAGAAACGGTTATGAACAGCTCTCTTATAACAAGGACCATGAGTCTATTAAACATAGAAAAGAATCGGTATTGACCACACCGACTTTGAATGTATTCAAATATTAAACAAAATCCTGTGTTGAAACATCCTTAAGCTAATCCATTAAAACAAATAGGAAGCGTCGATTTTAATCAGAAAATATTACAAAAACAACTCTCTCACTAAAACTAAAACACACTTAATTAGTAATATATAATGAATATAATTCATTGAGACTCACTGAATAACACATGATTATTAATTTAAATATACGCTATATATAAATCTTACCTTATATTGTATTTTAAATTATTACCTTTCATCGATGTCAAATGTAGGTAATTAATATCCTATCATTTGTCAGATAGAATAACGCAGAATTTCTTGGTTCCTTAGGGGAAACAGAGGCTAGTTTGCGCCAGGTTACTGTTTTTAATTTTTTTGCGCTACTATCTAACTAGAAATAACATGAAAAAGTTTATACTGCTTAAAAATGTATGTTTCTGCTTTTGAACATATGTCAGAAATGATTCATTTAATTTTATAGAAATCGTAACGGCACTAGGAGTTAGTACCGTCAGTAGTGGCCACTTCAAAAACAAAATTTGAATAATAAGAATTGAAGGCGTGCCACTGTCTTAAAGGTTGCAGAATGTACTGCTTGTCTTTTTAGTAAAGTGATTTAGAATGCGGATAATTAATTGTTTCCTCTTTTCTTACGTATGCATGTACTTGGCGCGACTGCCCAGGTGAACTATCTGTGAACTAGCCCAGGCCTACCACCGACGTCCCTGGCTCGCGGCCACGGGTTAAGGGGGTACGTGTGGTTAGGACGTAGACATCCCCACGCAGTATTCCGGTGTTTTCGACCTGATAAGTGAATTATCTCGTCACACAGCAACATATACTGAAATGAAAATGCACACTAGAGTCTTGGCTCCATAGGAAATCGAACCCGGGGCCGCGTAGTGGAAAGCGAGCACGTTTACCAAGAGCTAGCCACGAGGCCTCTTTTCTTATTTTTAAAAATTAATCTGAATATATCTAATTGGCATTGCAATAACAGGAACATTAATTTTTGGATTTTTTTGTTCTCAGACACGTTCCGTCAATCGATTGACTATTGCTGCGTCGAGTATCTGAGTACTACCAAAATTGGGCCATTTTTAAGTGGCCACTACTGGCACAAAATCGGGATTTGAGAATAAATTAATAAAAAATAAAACAAATTAAAAATTCGCCATTTCATATACAAGCGAGGGAAATGGGTATGCTAATTGCCAATTGAGAAGCAAATTTAGAATTTCCAAAGATTTAGGAGAAAAGTACGAAATTGTTCTTAACTGGGGCCACTGCCTTTGCTTTTATCCTAGATGTAAATAAAACTATCAAAAAATAGTTATTTGATGTTTCGATTGGTTGACTCCAAAATAAGTATTCTGATTAAAGATGACCGTAAAGAAGGAAACGGAAACAATAAGAAAAAACGTATACACGAAAGTCAAAAGCTCTTTTCTTTTTAATTTTAGAGAAGATGTTCATTGAACAACTAATATGTTACTATCCACGCTCTAAAACACATTTGAGGTCCTTGCTCGTTGCAGTTCATACTGACTGAAATTCGTTAGGTCTTGGGAAGTTCATTATGTCGTGAATACGTGATACAATAGGGTTTATGGAAGCTACTTGGTCGATGTTGAATCTTAAATACCAATCAGTCACTTGTGTTCACCAGCGCAAATTCTTTCCTACTCCATTTAAATAGTGATAAGCTATCGCTTTTTCAAAACCAGTGAATATTATTAAAAGTAGTCGTGTAAGAAGGGCACAATTATTCATATGCAATTAACTTAAGGCAATTAGAACCTTTGTTGAACAAAAATAATAAATTAATATTAGGCCTTCTTTCATTCTTGTCTACACTTGGAGATTCCTTCATTTCCTCAAATTCGTTACACACAACACTCAAAACGTAGCTTTCATAGAGAAAATATTGCATGCCTTAAAGTACATATTTTTATTTCCTTGAATAAATCGTATTTCAACTCTGAATATTTCGTTAATTACACGATTTAAGATTCGTTTTTAACGTCATACAATATCAGAGAACATATATCACATAACACGATTCAATCTTAAGAATGTACATTTTCAAATGAATGACATGCTGTAAAAAAATATGAAGAACCGTGCTGAAAATATCGACAGCTACAACTTAATTACACAGTCTTTCACGGAATATTCTACATGTTTATATGTAAATAGAGAAAAAATATATTTATATACATTTGGTTTAAATACATGGGGAATATACATTTTCATTTACATCAAACATTTTCAAATAAATTCAATTTGTATCCAGACATCAAAGACGCATAACGTACAGATTTTCACAACCAGGAAAGACATCTATAAACTTCAACACAATGTCTATAATACTTGAAATTGATAAGTAGTATTTCGCAATCAGAACGGTGTGTGATTAACAAACATGCGAGCGGGCGTTCGTCATGTCCTATCGGGGATACGGTGGCGCATGAAAGATACAAGCACAAATTCGTCCAAAGGCGACATAAGGGGATTTATGCAATATCTGTTCTATAATCGATTATTACACTGCTGGATTCTTACAACGAACACATAACAAACAGTCTCAGGAATTCAATTCCAACATAATATACGTCGATTATTGAATTACATCAAACGCATATACAGGAAGAAGTCTGCAAAACAAGTCTTTTTCAACTCCTCACATTGAAATATTCTTATGTTAAGAAAAAGTCCATGCGCCGTCCGTACATCACTAGAATTTAAAGGATGTAACACGTAATACTTTAATTCAGATTCGGAATTTCTGTTAATATCTATTATGTCTCCAATTGACTAGAATATTTCTTCTGCTGCAGACAATAAAATATTTTCAAAATAATTAATTTAATATCTCAAAGGATATCACAAGAAATGTTAAAATTTTATTTCGTTTCAGTGATTGATGACACTTTCTATCGAGTCTTTTGAGACCTACAATCGATGGTACGTAACGATAAAAATATTCGAAATTTTCGTATCTTCAGGTCAACACATTTCACTCAGAGTGATATACTTCATTTACACATTCAAAAATTACAAATGAGAATCTCCAATTTTTACCTATCAGATTGTCAAATAATCTTTCAGTGTTGATCTGAGCAAATGTTTGAGGCCAGAAAGAATTTCAAAATTTAAGTGTATTCGAGATTATTTATATTTGATCATATGAAAGTAGAAAATTTGTATATATTCATTTTCATAAAGTATCTTAATAAAACCAGTCAAAATACATTTCGCGGAGAGGACGGCGTCATACTAGCCAGAAAATTCCAAATGCGGTTTATTTCAGGTGATGTGCTTGGCAATATTTGCGTACGAAAGGTCTTCTTTCGGTACCTGACGTAATTTCAATCGGAGGACTCCACTCGGGATCCGGATACATGGATTCTAAGCCGATTTTCGATAAACGGGCAGCAGAGTGATAACTTCGGCTTAGGTCCCCAGGCACTGCTCCGCTGTCCAACTGGTTGGAAGACTCGGTTCGGCTGGAGGTTCCAGGTTCTGTATCCGATTCTGAGCCAAAACTGTCATACTCGTCGGTGGGACGAGGTCTCCGAGATCGGCGGTATTCGCTCTTCATGGACTGCGGTACAAGAAAGTACATTAACTTCATAAAGAAAATTACCCCTGAATTCAACAGAAATATACAGAATATATAACGGCATTAATCCACAGAACAGTAAACGAGCAAATCTATCATTTGTATGGAGTAATTAGTCTAGTATATTTAACTAGAATTGAATTCATTATTGTATTAATACATCCATGGGGGTAATGAAGGAAATGCAATAATGTATGAGCTCATGCAAAGTCTTCAACATTCACTACATTAACTGATCCGATCGATCACATATGCACTGATTCATTAACTGGGTCAAAAATCCCAAGGCACTCTTGTGTAATACTTAAAATTTTCTGTAGGAGAAAAAGTGAATCTGACATATTATATATAAACTACAGGATCAATGGGGGCCTCGGTGGATGAAGGGTTCGCTTATGCCCCTGAACCCCCCGTGAACGAGTTCGATCCCGACCGAGGTGTCATGATTTCCGAAAGGCATAAAATCCACAGTAGCCATGTCACATTTGTGGCATATAATAGAACCCTGGTGGTATATGCCGCCGACATCTCGCCCTAACGTGATCTCGCTTTCTCCCAACCAGACAGTTCGGATATAGTAACTGAGACCGATATCTGGTAGAGAAAGTGAGTCCAATCCGTGGTGCATTTAGGGATCTCTCACGAGGGGCGCCTGCTCGAAAAAGGTCCCCAGACCAGGGTCGGAGGTAGGCTTCTAAAGAGGCCTGTGAGGAAAACTTAGGGAAAGCAACGGGAAACTACCTTGAATATATCCTCCCAAGAAAATACATCGTGGGTGACGAATTTTTCGTCTTCGGAAGAATAGGACCAAAGAAGAAAAAAATTCATCAATAGAGACATTTTCAATATCTGAAGGAATAATGAACCAAAATTATCTATGTAGTAAAAGATTAAAAAAAGAAAGTATTTTAATTCAATAAATCTACTTATTTTGGTGAAATTTCCCTGATAGGAAATGTAATTGCTACAAGAACTCTCCACATTAAAATATTACAATGTATTATATCTGACTGATTGACTGACTTTTAAATAATTTTGCGATTTGCGATTGCGATTTGCGATTGAATGACTTTTAAATAATACTATTAATTATACAAATAATTCTTACCTTTCGTGAAGGAGACATATCTTCTCTGTAAACAAACGTTTGTAACTTAGTTGTATCAGAATTTGGAGGTGCCGGCACGTGAAATGTAGCATATGGTCGAATATCTTCCGAGTATTCTGAAAATATTAACATTTATGTCAGAGTGGCTTCAAGGTGAATAGTTATATTTAATTCAAAACTATAAAACGAAATTTAATAAAATGAATGAACGGGGACTTTAGATTAGGTATAATTGTTTCATTTGTGTCTATTAATGATATGGTTGGATGTAGCGCAGAGCCTTTTGAGTTTACAGACTTCCGTAATGCGTTTAGCCATACATATAAAAATTGGACCTATGGCACCTTATAAATGTCTTCACTCTTAATTTTAAGAAATTTAAAGAAAAAAGGTGCTACCAGAACGATATTAAGTTCACTAGGGGCCATTCAAACAACACTTTTGCTTAAGGGAGAGATAGGGTGTGCGATTTAGAGAGTTTCCACAACTGGGATAGTAGCAAACAAGAGATGGGGTTCGTGAAAAAAAATTCTCAAAATGTTTGGGATAATTATTATATTTTTAACTTCAAACTGATAATGAGCATTAAAATTTTTTAAAAAAGTGTATCTCGGGATTAAATTTTAAGAACCAAAGAAATGTTTATGAAATTTCATTTTATTTTGATTAGTCATAGGAAAATTGGAATAGTTTGTCTCCGGAAACTGTTAGGTGTTAAAAAGTGTTAACAAATAATAAAAATATAAACAAAATTATAAAAAATATAAATATAACGAACGCATTTTTTGAATTGCCCCTGATATCTGAATTTCTGATAGCAATTGCATACGATTTGGGTATTAACAATTGGAATAAGCAAACGTGCACCTATTATGATTGTAGTTGTATACTAAAATAAATAGTCTGCAGTAAAAGTCAGTCAAATGATCATTTGCGAAACAATCATACTTGCGATACAATCAAGTTTTATTGTTTTGAATAAATAACATTGTTTTTTCAAATGAACAATTGATTGTCATCAATTAAGAGGAATAATCCTATTCCAATTCGGGTATTAATTTAAAAAATGGAACTTGACCTAATTATTAGACAGTCTTCCTTCCATTAACCCTACAATTTTCTTATAGTTTGTGAAAAGTTCTGAACAAATATTACTTGTGAGACACTCGACTATCCTGGAGACACGGCATCCAAAGCATATTTGGCAACATTTCACTGGAACCTAATAAAAAATAAGCAAATCTTGTTTTTGGTTGAAGAAATAAAATCTCGCGCGCTTCGCTTCAAGAAGCAACTCGGAATATCCACTCGAAGGAACGACAATCCCTCTTTCTACCCGTGGACGAAGGAATGGTGTACTTCGAGTACATCAACGTTTCCCCTCCGATAAGCAATGTTGCTTCGGGTTCTCGCACAGATATCTTCGAGCATAGAGGCTATGACGATAAACAAAAAGAAAAGTATTCTATTACGCTAGGGTGTATTCTGCCACAGCGTCCGTCCCTATACGAAAAACGTTTGTTGAATAAAACATGATTTCCGCTTTTCATACTGGATAAAATTCTCTACTCGTGAACTAGCCTGTGGCGAGTAACGCAATTTTTGGTATGACTTTGTTAATTTAAAATTCTAAGTAACTTAGAGTAGCTAATGTGCTGAAAATACTATAGGAGAAAAATATGTCTAATTCTTCTGAGGGTGTTTTCAACAGCGAAAATCTTTCCATATTGCAAGATATTATAAGCCAATTATGCCGGATGCAAAAAACTCTACGCATGCATTATAAATGTAAAATCTATTGGCAAGTACTTTTGAAACATTAAATACATGAAATGTGTTACGTTAAATCAAGAGTAATATATGTATTATCGTTTTAACCTGGAATGCATTCCAACGTTCCCGGCGATGGAGACAATTTCCTGATAGTGGCGTAATATTTTTCGCTTCGAGCTAAATTGTGTTTGTTATCTTGGGTCGCGTTCGCCTGCATGTCTTGCAAACTTGAGTGAGGAGATGGGCTCCGTGCAGCTCCTGTCATTAGAACAGAAAATAATATAAATTATTAATTAGCATGCAAGTTTATGGAAATAATTGTCACGTTCGTTAACACAAAAAAATTGCAACTTACGTTTCTTCAAGCAGAAACAAACTCCCAATAAACTAAGGACGAGAGCAAGAACTGAAAATACTGCCAACACGACCATCTTCGTGTCTTTGTGCAGTGGTGTGCGTTGCTCAGTTCGTGTTATCACATGACTGGGCCCCGCCGTACCTGAGTGCAAATACAAGTCGTGAGAGGAAAAATGCACACAATTACGAAGCACTCTATGAACCAAAAAAACTATGAGGCGTACCCGCTGATGTTCCAACATACCTCCAAATTCACTTAAGGTTTTAAATTTATACTGAGCTACTGTAGATCCTGCAGCATTATGAGCAGTAATCTTTATTTTGTAGGTTTGCCCCGAATTAAGGCCGACTAATGGAAACATCTTATCAGTGGCGATGTTGTTTCCAACTGAAATATGAGACAAAAGACAGTAACTATACCATTACGCACTCTCTAGTATATAAGGATGTATCTATTGAACCTAGCGTATGTTATGTATTACTTGTTAATTTTCCGTTGGATATAATAAATTAATATGGAACTTCCGTTTTTAAACCGAGGCACCGACTTTTAGATACAATTCATGCATGACTGTAGTACTTGGAACAAATACGACAGGAATAAACAATCTTGTTTAGTACTAGTTGCTTAGAAGTACACATCCGAAACGTAGTTATCTCAGGAACTTGGCCTCATAATATTAATTAATTGAACTCTATACATACGTTTTACTACATTGTAGAATAAGACAGTTTTCTATATTCGTAACGAGCGATGAATGTTCGTTACAGATTGAAAAGTTTAAAATTATTTTTGACAATAAATCTGAAGCATTTAGTACATTAAACAATTCAGTATAGTAAATCATTCATTAACCATAACGTAGTTTTACTACTTTGTTCGTTTCTTTCATAGTTTACCCACTGCATTCCATTCAATATTCATGCTTGTATGCGATGTAAAAATCGAAATTCTAAATGGCAGCCCTCCCACTCAATCGGTATATTTAAAAAGAAGTGGTATAAATACAGAATAAATGTTAGACACATTGAGAGCACGCAAGGGAGTCGAAGATTGTAACTTTTGGCCAATGAAATGTGGTGAACTCTCTCTTAAAACCAAGTTTCACGTGTGACATTTACCACTGATTGGCAGGCAACTCCTGCTGTACTAGAGTTCTGACGAATTCGAATGGTTCCTAAACTGCCAGCTACCAATGTGTTCGAGTCAAGGGTAAATGTCATACGTGTATATACGTTGTATGAGATCGATATATATCACAACATATGGGCATTTGCAAAATGCGGTCACCTTTGACCCCCGTACATGCCCTAGAAGTTTGTTACGTTTCTTCTGAAGCTCTGTGTATACACGTTTTAAACGACTTAAAGATTATCATCGTTTCTAACTGGAGGTGGCCATACATCATGCGACACTCACCCACTTCCCACCGCTCCTCCCCGTCCGGCAAGTAGTGGGCGTACTCCACCACAAAGTACAGCAGCGGGCAGCCGCCGTCGGGCCAGGAGTGCAGGTGCAGCTGCACCGAGGTGGAGTTGACGGCGAACAGCTCGTACGACTGCGGGCGCAGCGGCACGGCGCCGCGCGTGCGCACGTTGAGCGTGGGGCTGGGGTCGCCCGTGCCCATGCGTGCTGCGCCCCCCGTCCAGCTGCAGCTCCTCCCACTCGCCGTGCTCGTGCTTGTAGTGCAGCACGAACCCCCGCACGCTGCTGCCCCCGTTGTCCCCGAGCTTCCATTGTAGCTGGAGCGAGTGCTGGGTGCTGCCGGTCATGAGCAGCACGGGTGCGGCGGGAGGGACTGGTGGCCGAAGGAAAATGGAAACTTACTCACTCACAATGTGCTATTGAAAATGTGTATTGTCATTCTGCACTCCAGGAAAAAATAAGGGATATTAAAAAATTCTACAATGTATTAACAAAATCTAATTTTTTGCTCAATCTTGTTTTTTCCAATTTGAAATCCAATTACCACGGAAATGAAATCTTTATTTTACATTTCCATATCAAAAATACTAATACTACAAAAGTCATTAAATTGTGGTATGTGTGAAGTGTATAGAAGTAGTTTTTCTACTCCCATTGTAAAATTCTCTTACTATCACTTGCAGCTAGCTGCATAATGATAGTCATTACGATACAGCATCATAATAGTGCAGAACTTTGACCAATCACTGAGAAGTTTACAGTTGAGACGTAGTCAATCATTGGTCAACAGGAAGTTCTATTACCGAATGTTTCGTTGAGTTGTGTATACTACTATGCTTATACAACTCATGGTCTGTTAAAAATAAATTGAACATGTAAACCACTGTTTCGAAACGTCAGAAGAAAATCAGAATACTAAAGACCCAAATGGCGACTGTAGAAATTATTAAGTAGTAGAGAAATATTAACAGATCATAAAATTTTTATGGCATTTTTTGACAAATTGAATCGTAACTTTACTCGTACTTCACGAAGGCTCAATACTGCACGACAGCTGCCACGTAACTGTTCCATGTAAATGTTGAACTTATAATAGATGTCATCAGTCGTAGAAACATTACTGTATGGAACTATAGAAAAGAGTATTAATTCATTCCTTCTCGCGCGTATCGTAATATTACTTCACACTCGTATATTACACCCATCATTACATCATCGTCTCATTATGTACAAATTTAATGGCTCCCGAAAACAAAAGGGTCTAACTCACGCTGGACGAAAAGTGAGAAAATGATGCATTTCCAATGAATGCTGATACGTCTATCATCTCTCAATAAATGGTGCATGCAACATTAAAAATGAATAAATGAAATGCGCAACTTTTTGTTTCCGTTGAACTCTTGTGTTAAATCTCTGAATGAAAAGATTGACAACCCACATCAAAATGGATAACTAAAATCATGAACCGTGTTCTAGTGACACAGAATCTGATTTTCACAGTAATGATAGTGTAAATGTTCCAACGTAGGACATGTGTAATAGGAAGGTGTGTACTGAAATACCTGCAGGATTATAACATTCAAGCAGGGGAACTCCATGTTTTTAGTGAGAACTGCAAAGGGCAAAACAAGAATATGGGTTCATAACTGTCATTTATGATTCTTTTGTTCAGTGTGGAAAATTTAAATATGTGAATCCACATTTCCTTTTTGTAGGACATACTAGACGTGTGACAGCGGAATTTAGGGCGAATACAAATGTACATTCAAAAACATTACCCCATATTGTACACTATAAATGACCGGAACAGTTGCATTTTTAATGCAGGAAGAAAGAGAAAATTCTGTTACACAGATGCAGCAGTCAGAATTTAAGGAGATGGAAGTTCTCTTGTTATCAGTGAGCAAGATGACAGAGAATGCGAAAAAGGAACTCCTTCAATTTTCTGGTGCGTCTGTGTTCAGGATTTCTTCAGATAAACTTACAATCTTGGAAATTTCTCATTCATAACGCCATGAAATATCAATGTACATGGCAGTAAGCACATGAAAAAAAGGACGTCCGAGATCAAATTATTCACGTTTCAACTCGCCACAAACATACAACCACTCGCCATTGACAATAAAAATCATGCTGACTTCCAGTAACTTCAGACATGCATTCCACCAGAATTGCACACAATTTATAGACAACTTAAGCTGTCTGAAAGGGCTTCTGATAACGCAGCCGTAGTAATTAACGAGGAAAATAAATAACCAGAAATAAGCACAACAGTATGCATATTGCAAAAAATTGAATAACCTCTTCATAAATAAACTGTTTATAGAACCTTCAATTGTGTGATTGAGTGTGAGGAAGGAAGGAGCTAACCAACTTTCCTCTCTCTTCTTCGCTTTTAAAATTAACTTCGTTTCCTAAATGCAATAATATTAATATTCATATTTATCTTGAAAATATGTTTTCACTCACACCAAGATTTAGAGAGAATTCTGAAAACATTCTTCAAATAATTTAAGTTATACGTTTTGTGGTTGTTTTAAATGCCATTTTCTCAAAGGTGGGTACTCTAGGTAAGCTCCTTTTTTCCGGGAGCCTTCAATTATATTCACCACTACATTGCCTACTCCTACGAGTCGCCACTAGTTTTAACTCAGTGATTGACGTTTTGGACAACAACAACAACTTCGCATGGATTTCTCTTTCCAAGTATATGCAAGCAAACCGATTCGTTTTCTATTTGAAATTTTATTTGAATTTATACGTCGAATTGTAATTGTGGCACATCCTCCATTTTCAGTCACGAGCCGCCTCTGGTAGCGAGCCGGCATGAACGATTCTTGGAATATTTAGTATTCTTGGAATTCTGTAAACACCGCATTTGCTTGTCAAACATTGCGTTTGTTATTCTTAAGTGTAAGCCGTCTCTATGTGACTGTGGCAAATCGGTTCATTCATTTATATTGTGTTCCGTAAATTGTATTTTGATTTTTGAAACGGACTCGGAATTTCTTTTTAATTTTAGTTTCAGCGAACCTGCACACGAGAAATGCTTTCGTCTTGTTCTGTTTTAATATCTTTGGAGTATTTTGCTTCTATTCCTTTCAGCCAAGAGCTCAACGTCCCCTTTTATCCGGAGTTCTCAGACGGCCACCAACAGCGGTGCCACCAATTTGCTTACAGTCGTTGCCTGACAGAACTTAGTTAAACCATTCTGCTACCTAGGACAAGTATAATCCGAATGATTGTTTTATTGATGTATTGGGGCGCTTTAAAGTGGTGTTTGTAGGTGTGTAATTAATCCCGTAAGTGTAGCGGATGTTTTACGGGAGACGGCTATGTTCTTCCCCTGCTGGATGGTAAGATTCGACGTCGATCGTCGGCTGTCGGCGGTTTTCTTAACTAGGTATCTCCCACCAGAAGGGCATCGCTACGACACAATGTCAATGAAGACGGCCACGACACAATCCGCCCTCTGGGAGTATTCGGGGAGGAGCCGAACAAATGTGTGTTCCAAACCAATACTACCCGTTAATGCACCATAATTTCTTGCCTTCAGACCATCTGATCTTGAGTCAGACCCGAGCGAATCATTGCAAGTCTCGAAATCAAACTGATTGTTATTTGTCTGCAGAAAGCAGACTGGTTTCGTTTAATAATGAACTGAATGTAGATAAGTCATATTCTGCAAAAACTCGCCGCCTATTTTTTCTCTATCACTAAAACTAAGAGATTTCATTCATTTAATCTAGCGAAATGAATCAAGTTATTGTCTTCTGTACAATGACAGTAATTATGATGTTAGTGCTATAATGATCAATATGCAAGGAAAGGCTACGCGAGGACATTTTACCGTGAGAATGATTAAAGATTAGTGTTTACGAGCTGCGCGGCCCTCTCAGAAAGGACTTTAACTTAACCTTGACGTTAACGCTCTCGCAGAAGCCAATACCTCCGTGCACGCACGCGTGAATGATAATAGCGAGGGGCAATTGCCCCGCCCCCGTGCGGCCAGCCACTAGATTAACCGGCGCGCGTCATAATATAGTTTACGCTCTCCTTACACGACCCCACATCAAGTTAAAGCCCTCCTCCATTTATCGGTACATCAGGGACCTCCTGGATTGCCCTTCACAAGTCTACAAGAAGGGAGGTGGATGTGAAGTCCCTTCTCCCGGTTATCACTTTCATTTATTTTCTTACAATTCAATTCACACTGTACGCGACATATAGGAAGAAGTATAATTTGTGCATTGAAAATGGATTATTGGTGAAAACATGTCTGGATAATAAAAGGATCAAGGCTCGGATTCCGTCGCCATGAAATATTAATTCTTCTTGATAATCTTCGAATTTTCAGTGAATGAATCACTATATTCTTTTTGGTGAATTTCAGTGAATTAATGATTACGTGGTGCATTACATCTGTTTTATTATCCTGGCAACTAAAACTTTTATAGAAAAATACTATTTGATTAATAAGTGAGTCATTTCACAGCCTATACAGTGAGTAATTCCACTTCATTCAGCTAAACTTTTTATTCCAATTGTACACTACGCACGATTGCTTGAGCTTCAGAATCCAAATCCCCCTCTTTTCAACATAGTGTTGAATTATGAATAAAGGTACCATCAAGCGTGGTTGGCTACATTTGAAAGTCCGAAATGTTCGGTAGAAAATTTATTTGCATTGGCGAAAGTATATTGATTTTATTTTGTAGTACTGCTCACAAAATTACACATTCCTTCACTCTGCTTCTACCTCAACTCCCAATTGCAAAGCTGACGACCGTCGGCATAGTGAAGCCACATTCATGTTAAGAGACAAAACAAGGTATCATCTGAATTTCCTCAACGGATAAGGGGAAACGTACCATTTTAGAGACTTTCAGTCTTTCAACATATATGTTTATTTGGGTGTCATTTCCCTTAACAAGGCACTTGCTTTCCTCTTATTCTGTTCGTTTTCTCGCCATACTTCCAAACAAGAAATTGTACTATACATTATTGTACAGACAAACTCTTATTGCCGGGCACTGGTAACGAAAAAGTACATACATTTTCTTCCTATATGTAGTGAATGAATTCCTCTATCACGTTGTGTGGTCAAAATCCTTGTTTTGTAGGTTCTTGCTACAGAAAATTCGATCGATGGCAAAAGGTCTGTCTCCCTCCGTCCATCTCCATCTGCCTGTCAATGTTAGCGTCTAAAACAGTTCAGATGATTTCCTCCAAAATTGATGTTCCCCGAAAGATTTAAATTAACTCCAGATCCAAGCATTTGAAACGAAAATTTTTACATTTTTTGGGTAATTTACAAGAAAACTCAATTAGTTTCTAAATTTTTTAAAAACCAGCACCAACTTTTTTATTAAACTTTTCTCTCGAATAGTGTAAAAGAATGAAAAGAAATGCTCAGGTCTCATGTTTTTAAAATCCTTATTTTTCGAAAATCGCAAACATTCAAAATTTTTATCGGTTACTTCCTACAACTAGAATGTTGATAGAGATAATTTCCTTTTCACCCTTACTTCTTAAGAAGAGAAATTATTGTAATCATACCCCCGAAAACAGTGTATTTTCGACGGTAACGAGAAAATGAATAAATCGTGTTCTTATATTTAGTAAATTAGTTCCTCCAACACGTTGCGTAGTCAAAATCAATGTTTTGTGAGCCCTTGATACCACGAATCCAATGACGGGAAAACCACCTGTCTGTGCTAAAATCTAACACGTAAACCGTCCAACAGATTCTCTCCAACATTAATATTCTTGTGGCGCGCGGCCCGCGACGTAGTGGTCAGACGTCAACTCCTTCCACCGTTGGGACCCCGGTTTCATCCCAGGCGGTTCCAAGGGGAATTTCTTGTAGACAAAGCGCGAGTTCGGTCAGATTTTTCGCGGTTTCCAGCCAATATGCATTCCTTCCGCACGCTCCATCAATCATTCTCTACCCTATACAGCTATTAAGAAACATTCCGCTAAGGATCGACGAATGACAGCGGCATCTACGTGATACTCGTACCCGAGAGACTAGCGGAGAAGAGCTACGGTTACCTCAGAAGGTTATCGATAGGTAGGACCACGGCCTGGTGAACTAGAAAGAAAAGGGAAATGGAGAAGGACACCTCCTCCCAAGACCTTAGTTAAGAATGAAGAGAATGTGGATGCAATGCCAGGCGGGGCGAGGGGTATAGCTTCGTTGAAGGTCGCCCCTGAGGGGGAAAACACATTATTAGTTTATTCTTGTGAGGATTCGCGACCGGGAGAGGTGGATCAGGGCATCAAATAATGCGACTGCAGTAGTTCTGACCGAAAGGTCCTGGGTTCGAGTCCCGACGGGAGATGGGTTTTCGACACTTCTTACGTCGAGTTCATACGTACTCTGGGGATGAATTCTAGGGGCCGCCTACTCTAATCGGTAGTTTTCCATGGTTTCTCGGATCAACACCAGGCGAATACCAGAACTGAACCCTAACGAAGGTACCGCGGGCGACCTTTCCTTTATCTTCCTTGTCCAATCCCCCCTTACTTACAAACACTTTCACTTACATGCACTACACCACAACACATGCCGGGAGACCGGTCAGGAGCTTAAAGAACGTCCCGGTCGGGGCAGTTCCCCGCTGGTTGCAGATACCTGATTGAAGGAAACCCCGTTAGCCGACGGTAGGTGAGTGTCAGATCTTACCATCCACCGAGAGAAGGTCACAGCCAACTCTCGATGAAAACATGCACTATACTTACGGGTATTATCACCTTAGCAGGTGATGGTCCCAGAATCACCATTCAATCAATCAATCAAAAAGTGAAGACACGTTACGTTCCCCTCCATTCGCAGGTATCTATACCTAGGCGTCAAGATATTTTTCCTTGTGCGATGGGTTGCGTTTTGGAGTGGGGGGGGGGGGAGGCCGCAGCGGCGAACTGAACAGTCTACCGGCGTCCGCTCAAAGGACCTTCCTCTTCATCCTCGATGGGATGTTATCATACTCACGTAACGAGAAATCAACAAATTTTTACTTATTTCACCTTCAGTTCTATTAGTTAGTATTAAATAGTTATAATCCAGTTCATTAATTCAATTTTTACAACCATTTTTAATGTTTCCTCCATGAAACAGTAAAGAGCTGTGTTATATTTTGAATCTCTATTTTAACCGGACTTTCTAAGGCTCGAGAGCGACAATTTTGATACGAGAGGATGTGCTGAGCTTATTGATGAGCAGTGTAATAAAATACATAAAATACAAGAAGCTTTGAGACGAATAAACTAGAAAGTCGCATCAGATTCGGTTCAGAGGAAAGGCAAGAGAAAATAAACTCTGAATCGGACATTTTCTTCTCGGAAACGTTTTAAACTCGCTTAAAATTTCAAATTAAATGGCCATTGAAAAGAGCAGGATTGGAAGCTTTATTGTCGCCCTTTCAACCACAAGAAACTCCCATCCAATTGAAAGCAACACAGTGTTTGTTCAAGAGGGCAGTTCATCAAGCTTTTTCTGCGAATTTAGTAGCAAGAATGTCTATAACATGCAAGCGCCGAGAGGAAAATTTAACTTCGACGTCAAACTGGTATGTGGCATGTACCGTGGTTGTTAGAGACCTGACACACACAACTTCCCTTTCATGACTGCACGTTGGTGAGGAAGAGAGTGTTGTATGGGAGTTTTGTGCAGTTTTCTTCATGAACACAGTTCTGGGAAATATTTTATATTTTTATGAAATATTATTTAATCTGTTTTTCCAAGGTTCGAGACCGATTAATTTTGTAAAGAGAGGATGTGCTTATGAATTGCAAAATACCGTGAAACCTGACCTAAGTGACTACCAATGGTTTGGGCAAAAAATGGACGTCAAAATGCCAGATGCTTAACCAAGGTTATGACGTTACTGAAAGTGTAAATCGAAACTGAATTTATTAAGTTCTATTAAATGAAGTATGTTCTTTTTAATATTTCTAATTGCCATAAAAGATATGTATAATTTAAACCTGGAATTAAGGATATTGTCTTGTTCTTGCCTTTACTTGTCTAAGTCGTGAAACTAACTTTTCACTCCGAATCAAGCAAGCAATTTAGAAGAAGATGCAATGCATATCCTAACGAAACATTACAGCAGGGTCGTCTGACGAAGTAGTAAGCGAATGACTTTTAGATCTGATTCTGTGCAGGTTGCTCCGGAGGTCTTTAATAGATTCCTTCAGAGGAAACGTACGAGGTAGCATACTACAGGAATTAAAATTGAGAAATTAATACGTTGTGTTTCAATCAGAGTTTTTTTAAACAATCTCTTGTTACAATTGTCTCAGTTTCTTGAATATTAATTCAAAAATAATCTCCCCTACATTTCCGCTGCTGGTAATAATGCATCTCAAACTCTTTTGAGGTGACCACTTAGATAATATATATCCCTGGAAATGTGCTGACCGTTATACCGCGCTGACCAGATGGCTCCAAAATAGATGGAATAGTTATTCCTATCCTAAGAAACTAGTTGTGGTAAACTGCATATACTTTCTCGCATTATTCTGTTCCGCTATGTTATACTTCATAAACATGCAGAACTATTTTTAGCAAGCAAACCTTTTTCAATTACATTATTTTCTGCAACGAGACCCGACCTAAGGTCCTTCGAGTTAACTCACCGTACGCCATACCACTACAGATTCGAACTCGGGCCGACGGTTAAAAATGGATTTGTCTCAACCCCATATTTCCAACACGCAATTTTCAAAATTACGGACAGTTTGCGAAAATGCTCTAGCACCATATTTTACCGTCCTTCGACACTTGTGAGTGGAAAATGAAAAAATAATTAGAGCGATTTTTGGGAAAAAAATTGTTCATTATTCTAATGGCAAAAAGTGTCTTGTCGCTGCCGCCATGATACTCAGTCCTCTTCATCTATGCGTAATTTGTGAAGAGTAATTGGGTTTGAATTGTTCTAGATGTCCCTCTACCTCTTTTTCTAACTATTTTACAGATCGAAATTGTGCTTAGGAATTGGTTGTCTGAAAATGTGTCCAAAGAATTTTGCTTTCCTCTTGCAAATGCTTTTAGTAGGGATCTCTTTTCAAAAATTTTAAAAATTACATTATTTGATAACGTTCTTGAGCTGCTTGAGCTAAGCCTTAAAAATTCAAATATCCGTTAGAAACTTCCAAATCCTCAAGTTAGTTCAAATTAATCGGAGAATATAAATTATTGAGAAAGGTTTAAGAATTAGCGTTCACGGACACAGACCTTTTCGCCGTGAATCGATTTTTCAGTATCAAGGACCCACAACACATGGATTCTGGCTACACCATCTGCTTGAGGAAATAATTTGCTACATTTATAAGAACAGATGTATCCGTTTTTTCGTTACCAGGCCCGGCAGGTATGGGTAAGTAAAAATAAATCGGTTTCACGAAGATTTGCCAATAGATGAGGGGCCCGCTTAATTCAGGTGGCCGTTTAAAATTATTTCACTATTATGCCCATTGAGAGCAGCAGGAATGGAAACTTGAGACTCGCCCCTTCAACCACAAACAACCCTAACTGAATTGAGGGCGACACAATTTATGATGAACATGCTAGTTCATAAAGTCATTCGTGCGAATTTGGATTGCGAGAAAACCAATCGATTTATTGATTATTTCGTATTTCCTGGCACATCAACTCCTAAAGTCATTAAATTCGTACGCTTAGTGCAGTTTCCTTCTCGGGAAGTGATGATGATCTTCGGGTGATTTTGAGCCGGGTGGTAAGATCCGGCACCGGCCTCAACGTCGGCTAGGAGGATTTTTTCTCAAACAGGTATCTTCCACCATCTGGGCATTGCCACAGCGATACAAGCTCCAAGCATTTGACTGGTCTGCCGACATATGTGTAGACAATTTAATTGTGTGTGTGTAAGGGGAGGGGAAGGAATAACGATGAGGAAGATCGCGGGGTACGTGGCTTAGTTGTAAGGGTACTGCTCAGGCTTCAGGCTTTCGGCTGGTGAGGATAAAAAACACAGAAAACTACCGATCAGAGCAGCCGACCTCTAGAATGCTCCTCCAGACAGCGGCTGAACTCGACCTAGCCATCGAAAACCCTGATACCGACGGTACTAGAATCCGGGAACCTTCCAGTCACAGGCACTGCAGGGAAGTGAGTTGATACCCTGAGCCACCAAAGTCTGCGCGTAAACGCCAAAACCCCGCCAACGCCTACACGCGAACTTACCTTGGACGACCAGCTGGTAGGTGATGTGGTCGCTGCCGTGGTCGTTGGACACCTGGCACACGTACTCCCCTTGGTCGCTGCGCTGCACGTTGCTGAGCAGCAGCGCGCCGTCGGGCAGCACGTGCGCGCGTGGCTGCTGCGACATGGAGAGGTCGCCAGGCCGCTGCCAGCGCCGCGAGGGCTCCGGGATGCCCACGGCCTCGCACGGCAGCCGCACATCGCTGCGCCACGCGGTCACGCGCACCTCGCCGAACGACACGATGCTGGCGCTCACTGCAACAAGTGCGCGCGCGCGGCCGGGCAACCGCGTTGAGGTCCTGAGGACGGGTGACGGCCCTTGAACACTTTCAGTCCTGAGCCTTTAGCACAATTTTATTCCAGAATCCTCGTCATTTTGCTGCCGTTTTTCGAAATTGTATTACGTGTTATATTGGAAATAGGTGTGTAAAATTCATAACAAATAAAACTTTCTACATTACAGACTACCGAGCATCCAAAAAGAAAAGTAATATTAATTTTAACAATAACATTTAATGTATTATATATCATTTGGATTGTACACTTGTAAAGAACCTGTAACAAGTATTGTACTTCTGGGTCAATGACCCCCATCTCGATTAGGTTTTCTTCCAGTTTTCCTGATCCTCGAGCAAATGCTGAGATGGCCCCTTGTTTTGCTTCTGGGCATAAATGTAACTTCAAATTAATTTCTTCCCATAGCACGTCACACACAGTTTTTAAGTTTTTTTGACGTAAATAAATAAATAAATAAATAAATGAAACTTACTAAACCATAGGACAAAATATCGATTTTGGATGTTTAATGACATTTTCACCATATTAATTTTAATAACGTCTTTTTTATTCCCCGAAAAACTTTCTATATGAATTCTAAATAAAGAATTGCAATATAATTAAGATGAAGGCGTAGTCTTCTCCGGTCGGATAGAAATAGGAGAGAACCGGGGAGCAGTTCGGCTCATCGAATTTCGCCTTGGGTAAGGTCACAATATAATGGCCGAAACGTTGGCATCTGAGCCTAGGCCTTGGCGTGTCCCAGACAGCCATGACTATACAGCGTCTATTCATGCATAACTTCTTGTGTGGCCGACTCGAAAACAATCCTGTACACATAAAAGATCATTTGGAGTCTGATGATGTTTTTCCATGTAACTTAAGATCGAACATTGCTTGTTATAGACGACAAAACTGTGCATATTGAATACCCGAAGTATACTCGGGATCCATCAACTGGGATTAAACCTCTAGTCCAAGCCACGCTCTGTCATAAAACCGAAAGTGTTAACATCGTGGTTCGCACCAGCTCAGGCACCGTTAGGTGTCCTAGGTTCCTCGAACTTTACGAACTATCTATTGCATGTACGGTAAAAATGAGGACTTGGAGCACGAGTGGTCAGTAGGTTGGTCTCAAGCCTGGATAACCGTAAATTAACACCGAAGGGGCGGTGACAATCCAACGAAGGGTTCGACTGAGATAGTTACAGAAGGAGTAGATTGCGTTCGCCCGTTACATTTATTACCTCATGCTTCTCTGTGGATTGATCCTACGAACATTTTTAAGCAGTTGATTTCCTTAAATAACCTTAATAAAAAAGCCACAGAACATGTGTGACGAATCATGAAAATCATACCATTTTCAACAAATTAAAAGCTCGTGTAAATGAAATGAAGTTCCATGCATGCCCCGAAAGCGACGGATCATCCAATACGCAGTATTACAGAAAGTGTTAACATCGTGGACCACGCCAGGTGAAGTTCGGTGATCCACTCCCATTTAAATGTAGTCCCTTCAAAATCACGAGCTAGAAGGAGAGTGCGACACTTATCCAATCGGGAGCTAGGTTACGACATATTTTTAGTCTTGAAGCTTACGATTGGATGGGAGTGTTCCCCTGTCGTTCCAGTCGTGACCTTTGCACTTCAACCTTTAAATCTAATTATAGAGAACTAGGCTAATCCAATGAGCTTTGCGTTCCCTGTATTGGTCAGTTGCGAGTCAGACCCAATCTCACGGCGACACGCCGCCGCGCGGCCCTCGCCGAAAGACACGACGCTGGCGCTCGCTGCGGCAGAAAGATCAATACGCCCTGCGCCCCAAAAAGGGCCACTACTCCGCGCGCGCGCCCCCAAAACTTTTTGTCAAACTGGGCGAGTTCGGTACGACAAATGGCCCGGCGACGTGGCGCCACTTACGGCAGTTTTACCCACTTTGCCGCGCTCCTTTTACTTCAGAAACAGTACTACTACTTTCCATCGGAACGGGCTGCAGGTCTCTCCCGCGCGAGGGTGGGGGGAGAGGAGCGAGGGCTGCGTTCGCGAAAGTTACTGGGGCTGCACTTCGGGAGGGAGCGAGCTGGAAATCTAGTTAACAGAATAGTCGCGATCTAAGCAGCTGTCGGCTCGAGTCGGCGCTTGGAAAGTGACATCAGCGAACTGGAGGATTTATAGAACGATGATGTTTCGTGACTCTAGATGTGAAATAGAGTATACTTACTGGAAGAAGGTGTACATTTCCTTATTACGAAAATATTTTTCACATCATGGCGTCGACAACAAAAAGTTTCAGATGAAGGCATTTTGATTTATAGAGATTTCCTCATTTTCTAATTTTGGCTATTCAATTCAAAACCAATTCCTTCATCATATAAAATTCATTTTCAGAACAAACTTTGGAAGTGTATTTAAGATAAATGTACAAATAAAATAAAAGTTTTGAACAATATTTTGAACCAGGGCTTTAATAAACACATACCATAACTCTTGTTATGTCCTGGGTCGTTTACTTCGCAGATGTAAGTAACTGTATATCTTGTCTGTTTTGAAATCTTCTTGATAACATTATTACCAGTTACAATAATCCGAACAAAAAATGTGTACATTTTTGAGACGTCATTTTTTTTGCATTCACAATATTTCGCAATCGAACGATTGTAATTATCGTCGTAACTATTTCTTTATTATTGTGTATGTTTGATAAAATGTAATGTGTTTGATCTATTGTTGATATGTATCGTGTAGGTTTGATAAATATTCCTTGCTCGAACATGACCGACAGATACTTGTATAGACCATTCTATAACTCTCTTATATTCGTCCTAATTGTTGGATTATTACATTCAAAACGTCTGCAAAGAAAAATTACGTTTTAGGACACTTTACAAACTCATATTCATCGTAGCATACGAATATTTAAAAATACAACTGGTGAATCCGCAAAAAAAGCAATAAAATAAAAAATACCTCGGCTATCTAACGTTTTCTATAAAAGAAAAAATGAAATGCCTGTCTGCGACTCCAAAATAACTGCCATTTTTGATATATCGTTATTTACATGATGTTAAATCAATTTCATTATTTTTTCGTATTTTGTCTGTTTGATCGGCATAATCTCTGGATCGAATGTACCGAATTCGATGAGATTTTCACAAAATCTCGGTGTCGTGTCAGGCATTTTTTGAAATTATTATTTGTTCATAAATAAGGAAGATGTTTTGTTTTTCCATACAAATCTACAATTTTTACGGATCATAATAGAATATTCTATATATGGCTTTCAAAGAACGAGAAAATGTATTCCTTACATAAAATTTCATAAAAACATTCAAAATTTCATATCACATATTTCACTTTCCTACTCCTTGTCGCAAAATTTAAGTGTGCACTCTTCCTGTTTTCCCGAAACATATAGGAAACACTAAGCACATTTACCAAAATGTATTAAAATTCTCTAAACGCCAAGACAATTTTCTACTGAATGCATATTGGTTCATTATATTAGCATGATTAGGTTTATAGTAATTGCAGGTCAAAATTGTTACTTGAAGAACGTCGCTCGTATGCAGTAATGCATTTGATTACAGCGGCCAAACTGGTGGTAGCAGATGTGGTCGTAACAATAGGCAGGGCGGGGAGCAAAAGGTTGGGTCACGTGAGGCAGGTGAGTCGGGGAGCAGCAGGACGTGACAGATGGTGGAGCTGGACGGCTGGGGCCGGGAAGGGACCGCGCAGGGCAGGTTTCGGTGGGCAGGGCGGGTCAAGTAAAGGTGCGTCGGGGATGCACTATACACAGAATTCATTACTTTTCCCGTCTAATAGAAGATTGTGATTAAGAAGTACCACCACAATCCAGTGTACTTTACCTCGTCTACTTTATCGTAAAGGGATTATTTCAGACGCTTTAAGTTGCTGCAATTTCTTCGAGAATTGCATGTGACCAATCTATTTTTGAGATCATTTAAAAGTCAATGTTTTCATTCTTAATGGGGACATTTATTTCTCAGCAACTTCGTAGTGCCAAATGATACCGCTGTTTTATTAATGTAAAAAATTGGTACTGATTGAGCCTAAATAGAATTTTCACACATTTTACGCACGCACATTTGGTACTAAAAATTTCTAGAAAAAATAATAACAAACAGTAATATGTGTAAAAATGTACTACATAATTATCTAGTCGCTGCTTTGTGTGTTTTATCGTTTGTTTATTACAGAGAAAGATAAGTTGATCTTCATATTTTGTTTGTCGATAGAACCTAGACTGAAGTGCGAGTTAATCGCAAGTTTTACTGCAACAGACTTGGAACTCACATTTCTATGAACTTCTTTGATCGCTAGCGCAAGTTATATTCTGCATTAATATATACGTGTGAGTATGTGTGTGTGTGTGTGTGTGTGTGTGTGTGTGTGTGCTTGAACATACTAAATGTGTAGAAGCGTGAACGGGAGCGTGAATGGAATGTGTACGATGAATATCGTACCTTGAGAGGGATGTACACATTACTGCGAAGGGACATGTTTAGAGTCAATGAGCGAATGCATGTTTTGTGCTCTGTGTGTTCATATGGTAATGAATGTAGTGTGTTCGTCGTAGAGTTATTCGAAGTAAATTTTATCACATTAAATATTAGCAAATTAGTGGCCTGCCCCAGCAAGTATAGAGCTCAACAAAACCACACACAGTTGTTTTCCTCAAAATACAATGCACACTGTTCAAGAACAACAAATAAAATACTCTCGAATAACAGTGGAGTAAATTAAATAATTTAACAAAAACAGTCTTCCTGAATACTGTAATAACATTGTATAATATTCAGGAAATCTCCCTTAAGATATTCCCTACGAGTATCTCCTTAACCGTTGCAGATATTGAGATATTGTTTTCTCTAAAACAAACGCATGCGAGAGACACAAAGATGAGGTATAATATTTAACTATTGCCTTTTATAAATTTATGAGACATTATAGATAATTTAGAGGTTTCACAACCATGTCGACCATTAATATTCTGCCGTTATCGTTGGGAAACGCGGTTATTTTCCACCCCGCCAACGCAAGCCAACCCCGAAAAATAGTTGCACTCTCACCTCTTAATTTAGGCTGCGCGCGCCTATGCCAAGAATATAAAAAAGGTGCTCTGTCGTAACTCAACACGTGGATAGAAAATATTTAATGGCGTGCGGCCTCTTCTCTGCCGCATGTCGTCAGTTACCTTCTAAATAATGTCACATTGGGTTTAAGATTTCACTTGGTAGACGCAGTAGGCAGTTAACACAATCAAATTCTTGCATTTATAAGAAAAAAGTTGAGACGGTTTCATTTTTTTCCCCGGAGATTTCGGATAGTTAACGAAATCATATACACGTCTCACACGGCCGTAGGCTGCTAATTTCTCTCTCAATTTCTGTGCACCAAATTAATAATGTAGTTTATATACTCTAACCGTTGCTTTGGGCTGCAACCCAACGGCACAACAACGTATTCCAGTGCCCCGCTACCGTCGAAACATTTATACAATACAAACCTAAAAAAATGTTACCAGTGTATGTTACCAAATGATACCAAGAGCAACTGAATTGTAAAATAAACGGCGACTAATACGGAGAGAGTACTGGAACTGTGAAACAAAGCTGTTGCAGATTGCTAGAGAAGAAACACAACGTACAACAAGCCACCAAAGATGCCGCACATCGATGGCCAAAATAAAACGTACTCTGGAGAAGGACTTAGATAATGCAGCATCTCTCACCGTACACTCTGTATTGTAAAGGATTATGTGCCTTAGAGTGCAAGATAGCTGGCACTTCATCGGGCTGCTGTGAGTTGTCTTATGTAATTACGCAACGTGTTTTTCTGTCATAAAACAATATACAAAAAGAAAAAAAATTAACGAAATTAATAATTACAGACCTATCTCCAGGATAGTGTTCTTTGAGTTATTTAAGAGAACGGCGTAATATTAGTACTAGAGTTCTTGCTGTCGTATTACAGTGTCGAAAACATTTTTTCACAACTGTCTCTCGAGAAAGTAGCACTATATACGCCCCCGCCACTTTTCAAGTGGGAAGCCTCTCCGTGCGTTATGAGTTGTAAGGCAACATTAATAAAAATCAGTTCAAAGTGTACACAAAACTTTTGCATGTCTTGGGTGTTGTATGTTTTGTTTTTATAAGGTGTACCCAAATGGAAAGACCCAAAAGAAGACTACAGTTATATGAAAGGAAACTTTAAAGCCAACATGTGAATTACATTTCTATTGACACAGTACACCTGTAAATATTACCATATACATTGACGTACTTATCCCAGCGGGTAGGAATTGTGTGGACCGCTTCCGTCTAAAAACTCCTGAGTTGCTGACGGATCCACTGTTCCACTGTGGCTTGCACATCCTCGTCAGAGGTGAATTTCTGACCTTTCAAAAATATTTAAGGGGCTGAAGAAATGGGTATCGCTTGGGGAGATATCGGGGATGTAAGGAGGATGTTGCAGGATCTCCAAATGAAACTCGCAAGAAGCGCGAGGGTCTTCTCGGACACACTTGATGTTGTCCCCGCACCTTGTCACCATCGGAATATGGTACAACGGGCGAGGCACCGCTGGTCATACACCTCGCGCATCCTGCGATAAATTTGGGACACATGCTGCGCGATGAACTTGGATCACTGCTCTTTGTGCTGCTCTAGAAGCATCCATCATGCGACGAACTGCGAAAACTTTGCGATCAAACTGGGACAATCGCTGCAAAATCCTTCTATTCGTCTGTGAAATGCTCAAAACCGTCTATCGACTACCACGTTCACTAATGTGTTGATACAACGTCGCTACGGCTACGGTCTCCTTTTCATTTGGGCACAACGTATATACTATTGTACACGCGGCCATGTTCCATAGAATGATCAACTCAGCATCACGGCCTTTACATCAACACTGCGTTTACGCAAAAATGTCCTGGACTATCACTTAATTTATTTAGTATGGACCCATGTGACTCAAGTTCTGTTATAATTCACTCTGTATCGATTGCTAATAAAACTAACGACCAACTTCGCTGGTGTGCACAGTGCAGTTTGCACAGTCTATCTTCAATCATATTCTTCTTTGTAGTAATCAATACCTGGGATATTACCAGTGAACCTTCTCATATTTAATTATGTATGTACTTTGTCCCAAAGCTGTTTACGAGCTAAGGCGTTAAGGGGTACGTGTGGTTAGCACATAGCCATCCCTACGCTGTGTTCTGATCTTCTCAACCTGAGAAGTGAGCATTCTCATCGTCACACAGCAACAAATGATGGGACATTGCAAGGGAAGCGCACAATTGATTTTTGTCCCGACCGGGAATCACACCCGGGGTTAGGCCCTGGAAAGCGAGCACACTACGTACCCAACGAGCCACCGAGGGCTACACATATTTCAGAAACACCTCTAATTAACTCTACCCCACCGGGCTCATGAAAATGACGCGGCCTACCTTTGGCGGCGGGCGTGACGGCGGCGACGGGCGTGCTCTTGCCCTCGCCCACCTTGGTGAAGGCCGTCACCCAGAACTCGTAGCGCAGCTGGCGCCGCAGCCCGGGCAGCTGGAACTGCAGCGGCGCCGTCGCGGCGTGCACCACGGAGCGCGCGTCCACCTGGCGCCCGCCGCCCTCCACGGCGCGCACGTACACGTGGTACTTGGAGAGCACGCCGTTGGGCCGCGCCGGCGGCAGCCACGCCACCAGCGCCGCGTCGGGCGCCGACAGCGCCGCCTTGATGCTGCTGGGCGGCCCCGGCGCTGTGAGCACGCGCCACTGCCCGTCAGAATATATCGGTCGGTCGGTCGGTCGGTCGGTCGGTCGGTCGGTCGGTCGGTCGGTCGGTCGGTCGGTCGGTCGGTCGGCCGGTCGCTTTCCTGTCCATCAGTGGATTTATTTTTGTATTGACTTGACTGCAGGGAGAAGAAACAATGACCTTGTATTTCCCACAAAGATTACGGAAGATATGTTGAAATATTGTCAATTTTAAATTTTCTACCGCGGCATAGTTGTCATCCTTTAACCCAGTGAGCAGTTCTAAATTGCAGTTCATATACATTGATTACACTCTCTAAGGTACAATAGAGTAATGTCAGTTTGCATTTAATTAGGACCATTCAGAGAGGAATTTCATCAAAGTTTCTGTATTTATTGTAGGCCTCGATCTACATTTTATTTCATCAACTACAATGTTAAATTTTCAAAAAAATCACAACGGCAATAAATAATGGGAAAGCTTCGTAGTACTCACCGTCTTCTTTCGTTCGACAATATGTTCTGGAAGACCTCACACCATCTCCAATCCGAGTGAACGCAAGGATCTCTACACTATAATTTGTGTATTTCATAAGCCCATGCAGTACAGTGGTCAGTGCAGTAGTTATCTTAGTTCTAGATTCGACCGTTTCTGAAAAAGAAGAAATTTTTTGATGAATAATTGCTACTTATCAACACAATTTCACTTTTATCAAGACAAAAAGGTTTTAAGAAATACCAAGAAATCAAATTCGTAAAAATTCTCCAAACTTCTCGCGTGTACACCATCCCATGTACTGCGTGTTTCTGCCACATCGCACTTTACATTGTGAATTTTCTCGCTTGTTTCCCAAATGTTTCCCACATGTTCATCTAGTGTTTCCCAAATGTTTTACTGGATATTAAGCTAGAGATTTAGAAATTCATTTTCAATCACTTTTATTACGACACACTAAACATACCACAGAGTACAGTGACTCCTCTGGTGAATTAACTGAAAATTCCTATAAACTCAAGAATTCAGAAGAGCCAAAGCCTTAAAAAAGCACTAACAGAAGGGACTAAAAGATTTCATTTTGTAGACTAAGGATTAAGACACATAACTAAATCTCTTCCTGTTGTGTGAGCCCTTCCGGACGATTCACTAGAGTAAACAATAGAAATTTTGTCTCGGACGATGAACAAGACCTTAACCAAAAATCCCTGCGAACTGTATCAAAGACATTACAATGGAAAGTAACAATATTCTGTTTATTTTATTTGTCCGTAGCGTGCACAGTTTCAGTGCAGTTCAGTACATAGATCGAAAGTTATAGGTTCGACTCCCGAACGGAAGTTTCAACATTATTTAGGTAGCAAAGGCTACCTATCGTGAATACCTTTCACCAATTCCCATCGGTTGCCAGAGTAATATCTTAAACATCGGACTACGGATCGCACGGGATCACTTATTTCAATTCCTGTCCCAATTCCCACCTTTAGGGTTTCGCGATCCCCACCCTATAAGGCCAACCCGTCATCTCGAAAAACTCGATGGCAAAGGCTTAGTGGAAACGCCTTCCATCTTTACTGGTTTGATCCTAGGCCAATTTATGACGAATCTATAGTGGGCAAAGCGAGCTCTCAAGAGGTTTTCTCTGGGTTCTCTCATTTCTCCTGCCTTTAATTTCATCATTCTTCCTTCGTTATTCACGGTCCTCAACGAGTTCAGCTCTAGAAGTATTTCTAATGTTATGTACCTAATACATAAATAAACAAAGAAATAAATTAAATACGGTAAATTAAAGGTGTTGTCTGGTATCAAACATTTATTTTGCTAATAATCGTTTCGAGTTCCCGAAATAAAATTACATTAATTAAATTAATTAGAATTACTGAAGTAAAATTACATTAATTAAATTAATGTAATTTTATTTCGGTAATTCGAAACGATCATTAGCAAAATAATTTTTTTGATACCACACAACACCTTTAATTTACCATATTTAATTATTACAAGGTATCTACCTCGCCAACGATCTAATTAATAAAGAAATAAATAAAAAAATTGGAAGACTCCGGCAGAACTGCCGGAGCGTGAGCATCAAGCGAAACCCTGAATTGCGGGACAGCGTCATAAAAAGAATGTGCTTATTTTTATTACTATACGTTTTTCGCATCGTTTCACTAATATAACTCGAATATGTAATGTAACAAACCTTCTTGGGTCAGCGTTGGCATAGGTTCGTAGAAGAGGCGATAGCCCTGAATGACGCCATGCACCAGCGTCTCTGGCGGAGGCTGCCAGCTGACTTGCAGAGACTCCGGAGACAGGGCCGTGCAGCGGACGTCGCGAGGGGATGCCTCTGGAACTGATCACAGAGAAACACCTTTGAGATCCGTTGCTGAAGGAAGGGCTTTCACCGCTTTGCCTCGACGTCTGAACGTTAGGCGTCCCAGCGGGGCTTCGACGATGGTTCAATTTTTGCTAATGTTTTGTTAGGTTGCTTTCCAACTACTACGTAATGGAGCTATCACAGTAATTATCATTGGTTTTTAAACTTTGGGGGTACTGTACACGGACATCCATGCGCCGGTAGAGATTCGAACCCGCGATCCTTGAGGTTCGAGGCACCTACGACCCTTCAGCCTTAGCGACCACGGTTATCCAGGCCGGCGTTTGTAATGATTATTACGGCAACTGCATATAAATAAATCTAAGGGCTTATTTGTAACAAAATAAAGCCGTTGGCATTGGTAATTTGTCTACTGACACATATCATATTATCAAGTATGGATCAAATTCCCTTCATTTCATTTCACTATGAATTATGTTTTATATTTTAAAAATATAACACAATTACTTTCAAAATATGGAATTGTTAAATTTAAATAGTAAACATTCTACTAATATCAAAATAAACGTAATATAAATAAACATTTAATTTGAAATAATTTGAAAGTGGCAAGTACATAGTTATACTCGTATATAACGTCACACAGAAGGGAACGGAACATGAAAGCGCATCTGCTTTGGACACGCAATGAGCTAAAGCATTATCTTCTCCCTCTCGGAGTTCCGCCTGGCTTACGGTAAGCGACACTAGCGCTGTAAGACAGCGAGTAATGTCTCCGACGAGCCGTGCAAATTGTGTGGACGGGAGAACGGGAGCATTTCCGAGTCTCCAAAGCAAGCTCGAGACGTGCGTTGTGGGTAGTCCGTCGCTTGCTTTCATTTATTCCACTACGCATAATTTACACAACACGCGGAAGGATAATTAACTTCCAACCACATGTGATATCGTTGAAAACGAAAGATATAATTGCAAGGAAGCATATTCCTTTCGATTCAAAATTAAATAAAGTAATCATTTAAGAATTATTCTATTATTGATTACACAAATGCGCAACATAGCAAAATGTGAAATTAATTTACTTACAAATAAATATATGTCTTTATTAGGCGCGAGGCTGAGCACAATGGGCTTGCTCTTCCACTAAATCACAATAAAAAATTAAAGCAAATAAATAAGAGTTCGTTCAAAAATACGCATGCTTTCGAGGGAAGAGTTTTCCACAGTGGTAACCAGAGGAAGAACGAGGGAGAAGGTTGCTGATGTAAAACGAGAGTTGACCCTTCAGAATATTTAGTTTAAATATGTATATTGGTTTAAATGAAGTATATTTCGTTTAAATTACAAGTAAATGTTAAAAACATTAAAAAAATATATCTCGTGATTAAATTTTTAAAAAAGGAAAAAGAGGGTTAAGAAAGTTAACATATTGCAAACATGTTTTTGAAAAGACGAGATATATTTTTGGATGAACAATTTGAAGTAGGGGACATGATCATTTCAACTTGGGGCACATTTTGTACCGAAAATTTAAATAATTCAAAACTTGAAAACATGATCCAATGAGCCCCATCAGTAATCCGATAATTTGTATATTTACTCCTGGGACTACAAGCAAAGGTTGCGACATACGCCAGAAGCGACTGAATGGGTAAACCCCAGGTAAACCCCAATCAGAACGGCGGCTTAAGAGCAGACATTATATACTTTGCTAAGGGAACGGGACAAATGCTGTGTGCACAAACGATACAAAGGAGAGGGGATACATTTTATATTACATATTCGGATGAAGTGTGAAAGAATGGCGAACTGAAGCCGAATTTAAAGGAGCTATGTCCAGAAAGAAGCAAGAAATCTGAGAATATATTTCATTGAACACATATTTCAATCCCCATATCTGAAACACATTTTGTAAGCACGAAAACTATTGATCGAGAAAATATCGAGGAGAAAGGATTAACTAAGAGGATGTCTACTCCACGTTCCACGCCAGAACGAATGGTTAGAGAACGTTCTTACGAAAAGCGTAACAGATTAAAAAAAACATTAGCTCATGATCTTAACAATATAACAAGCAATAAACAAAGTTAGTACCATCCTCCAAAGTCTGTGCGATGACTTCGTCAGAAAGGGGCCCTGGTCCTTTCGTGTTGAACGCCTGGGCCACCAATGCATATTTGGAGAATTTCTTCAAGTCGTTCAGTTGCACTTCTTCTCTTCCAGCGCCGTGGAATGGGACTGTGGTGAAATTGTATTGCCTTTTACCCTCGGTGTCCCTGTAACAAAGTCTTAGTGCTACATTCCAGATGTAAAGTTGGTGTAATTATATTTTCCTGGAAATCGTATGCGGCTATCAGAAGCAATTCTGAATACGTGTATTCACGCGGGGTCTTACGAAGTTCCGTTCTGCAGAACAAAAGCAAACTCAACATCGCGTTTGTCTGGAGTACGCAGAACTACTGCAACAGGTGACCGTAACGACTTTGTGCTTTGGGAAACTCGCTCTCTCCAAAACATTCAAACCCAGCAAGCTATACGCAAAGGAAACACGTATCGATAGCACACAAGTCTATTCAACGCGGAGAAAAGGCGCTTTAATTTCTACTTTTAGGCCGAAGTTTTGCACTTTCACGCCGACGCAGTGGAGAGAATTCCCATTTTTTCATGTTACATAAGGGTAATGACGAAGACACGCGATCTTGAGCAAAAGTATACATTTTGTCGATTCAACTGACATTTACACATGAGTAAATATGTTAATCTTAACGTTAATTTTTAATTAAATATATTTAAATGTCTGTAACAAATAATGGACTTCTGAGTCTATGAGCACATTTCATCTAGGTTTTTATTTACTTTTCTCTAGAGGCAAATGCAGAAATAGCGATTTGCTTCCAAGGAAGTAAAACTAAATGCAATCAATGCACAATATCATTTCGTATCGGACAGTTAATATATTTTTGTAATTCGTTGCGTGATGAAACGAAACGAAATTTTTTCTGCACTTCGTTATCATTCGTTAGATTTAGAGATTTAATTGACTTTGATTGTTCCCTTTGATTATTTATATTGAATGTTGCTTTTGAGTTTGACACGACACAAACTTTTGTTTCCAACGCCCAAGACAGTAGTGTGACACAGTAGTTCTAGTGATTAACAAAAATGTCAAAAAGAATATTTCAAACATTCTATCTAGATTATATTGAGTTAGGGAATCCTTAGACGTAAAGAAGTTGAACATAATCGTAAAAAAATTAATTTCAAGGTACACTATATCATTTGTTGATAATGTATATTATATTCCGAAAACTTTCATTTCAAAATTTGGAAGCTGTTTGTAACAAAATATAAAATCTCTCTCGTTTTCAATACGCACAAGGGAAGATGCAGAGTTAAATGTTCCTTGGGGTTGTACGTCCTTCTGTTGGCATTGCGCGTACGCTCAATACAGAGGGCATTTTAATAAAACCGACAAACTGCAGGGACCGATTCCTGACTGGAAATGGAGGGGAAAAGGTCATGTGAACATGTGTTCGGAAATGCATCGTTGCCACGGTAGATGGCTCCCACGAAATGCATTTGTATATGGCACTGACAAATATGATTTTTATATTTAGCTTTAGTCGAAAACAATAAAAGCTGTATGTGACGTATGAGGGAGAAGATAATTTCTGACCATGGGCACCCATTTTTCTCTGACCACTTGCATTTTGTTTCTTGTGTATTGCTTCAATGATTGAAGCAACGTACTGGAAGAAGAAGAATCTGATACTAATTGTAGGATCGAGCTGAGGTGGCGGTGTGTACGGCCGAAGCAGATGGTTTGGCCAAGCTTGTTCTAAAATGAATACCATTCGTCAGAGCCATCTACCGGCGCAGAGATGCATTTCCGTACACATGTTCATATGACCTTTTTTTCCTCCATTTCCAGTCAAGAATCGCTCCCTGCAGATTGTCGGTTTTATTAAAACAAATCCTGCATAAAAGCATTCAGAATATTAATGAATAAAGCTTGATACAAAACATGAAGAGAAGGCGTGCTCACCCGAGCAGGCGGTGGCCGACGTAGTGGCCGAGCAGCGGGCCGTTCCACGCGTCGGGCGGCGGCGGGTCGAAGGCCAGCGCCACCTGCGTGGAGCTGCGCGCGTCTGCGCTGAGGCGCAGCGGCGCGGCCGACGGCGCCTCCTCGGCCGTGCGCACCAGCAGCTCGTTGCTGGCGGCGCCGGGCCCCAGCGTGTTCTCGGCCAGCACGCGCACGCTGTACGTGGTGGCGGGTTGCAGGCCGGCCAGCAGCGCGCTGCTCTGCCCGCCCTCCACCACCGTCTCCAGGCTCGGACCCGCCCACGCGTCTGCCGGGGGGCGCAATTATTTCGCCTTAATTGAGGTAATATTTCTTTCGCAAGTTTTAGCATGCTTTTTATTTCCATTTTTCGTACAAAACAGGAAAAATCGAAGAGTGGAACCGCGAACCCCAGTGAATACTATCTGCGTATTTTAACGTGTGCCGTAGCGCAAGGCAAGAAATTCAATCGTGAAATTTCACGGAATCGCACGGTTGAGGGGTTTCTCTTTCGATATAATTGGTTCTCAGAACTCCGTACACGAATCGAATATATTTCTGAATTATCAGACTTTGGTTTCATTGTGAACACAAGTGATTTATTCCATGGAACGGTATCAGAGAAATTCATTAGTTTCTAAATTAACTACAAATTAATTTATTATAACACTAGGTTTCTTTACATTGATACATTATTAATGAAGAAAGGAATCTCAATTATTGAAACATAATTTTAAATAATCATCAACTATATTGTTTCTGGGTGTTGTGTTAGGAATTTGTGATTGAAAATTGAAAGAAAAGTATATTAATTTGTCACAGGAGATTAAGAGATATAATTTTAAAATATTCTTAATTCTCAAATTTGTTTGCTCACAAATCAAATAAATGAGTGATATACGAGATCTTAAGATTATCAGTATAAAAATATGTATGTTGAAATTATTGCATTCTGTCATAATATAATAAGTACTTCATATATTTGATTATACTTCTTGGATCAGTGTCAAAATCCCGTCCCGCACTGCATTTCCGCACCCATCATGCATTCGATGTTAACAAAAGTACTGGCCTTTGTTCCGAAGATGAGGTTGGTCGTAAACTGTGTGTATTAGTTCCGACGACAAACCACCACGTTACTGATGTCGTGCGGATCTTCTTTTTGTGTGGGTCTGAGTCATAAATGTTTTATGGAGCGAAGTATGAGAGGCCTCTAAATCATGCTTCAGTTAGATTTTTGCTTGACTGCCTTGGTGGAGATACGTAAGAGAATCTCAGATAGCTGATAGGATCCAGCAAAGAATAGGAAACATTAGAGTTGACGAATGGAGTTCAAAAATTTTACTACTCTTTGTAATAAATCCACCTTTGAAATTGAATTTATGTGACAATATTTCATTTGTTGGAGAAATTGTTAGAAGTTTTGAAAACGATTTAGGTCAATCCAGAAAAATGTAGGGACGTCAGTAATTTCGAAGGAATGAAGAGAAATATCACATAAAACGTAAGACGTAAAATTAAAGAAAAATATCGAATACTGAATATGTATATCTTTATTGTTCACGGTTCCAACCTTCAACTTTAACAGTGTACTCTTCTTAGGAAAATTAGTAATATCACTGACTTTTTCCCTGTTTTTGCAGTACGAGGTTAAAATGATACGATTAACTAATATTTGAATGTGACTTACCTTTCATGGGACTATAGCGTATTAAATAACGAGTAATAGGACTATTTCCATCTTGGGCGGGAGTCCAAGCAACGGTAACGCGTCTACTGCTCTGGTCCAAAACTCTTAGGTTCGTGGGATGCTCAGGAGCATCTGAATAAACCAGTAACATTTAGAGTGCATTTACTGAGTATTGGCTCCTAGAGGCAAGGAAGCTGTATTATGTTTCTGCGAGTAAAACATATAAATTTTGGAAAGTTATCCTTTTCTTTTCTTCAGAAAATGTATGGGTGAAGAGGTAGAATAATATTACCCTGAACAAGAAGATGAATCGTCGTTTGGTCATGACCATATCCATTCCTGGCGAAACAAGTATATATTCCTCCGTCTTCTGAGTTTACAGCATTTACCCTCAGTTCAGACTCCAAACCTCCTGTTATGTTCTTCACGCTGAAAATAAATGGCTACAATGATGGTTTTCACACCATACTCTTCTCTACAACATTGTCGATTTTCTAAACCGACTATACGACACGCCCAAGTAAATGCGGTAGGAGATACAGAAAATTATCTGCGCAAGGAATGAATGGATTAAAACAACGAACCTAGATCGTCTTTGCAAATCCATGAAACTGCCTTCTTTTCTCCAAGCAAATGTTATTGGCATATCACCCAAAGCTTGACAACGTAACACGGCAGTACCTCCGCGCCTCACCATTTCCTTTCGTGAACGCACTTTGAAGTGGACAGGAGCTGCCAAAGCCAGAAATGCAAAACACATTATATCTCGAATGTCACTGGGACCAAGAAGCTGGCGTATATACGTTTCAACCTCAATACGTTAAAGTTCTTACCGTTGATCGTCAGATACAATACAGCGCTGAGACCGACGCCTATGCCATTACGAGCTTCACACACATACTGCCCTTCGTCGTCTTGTGTTACGGTTTCGAAGAACAGAGACCCGTTAGGCAGGAGGGTCATTCCTGATTGGTGCGTGCTGACATCTATTTCCTTTAGCTGTTTGCTTTCGTGACCAACCAGTGAATGATAAGACTCCATTTTACGCCCTACAACAAACATGTAGTTAGCGAATAAAAGTGACGCAATTAACGGAAGAAAATATTATTATAGTATAGCCTTCTTGGAGACTTAACGCACAGAGAGATTATACAACACTTTATAACTCAAATTTGAATGATTCAAATTATAAGGTATATTGACTTGTATATGATATTTTATAGCAGAATTTGTGCTTTTATATTTGCCTTTAGAACTAATCGTTTGTACAGAGTACGAATCGTTGTTCGACCTATGCCATGAAACTATTTCGAAAAGTCGTTTTGAAAATTACTCTTAAACTGAATGTGAAATATAGAATAGCGACATGAATTATTCTTTTTGGGAGCTCCGCGACATAAGCCGACAAGATATACTACGCAGGTGAATGCCTTTATTATAAATTTTTGGCGGGTTTTCAATTATCGTTGGCTAGTATTTAGTATTTCAAGCACTGAACACATTTGCTGGAAAGACCGCTAGATGATAAATACTTAATAAAGTTAAATCAAACCAATAAGTAAAGAAATGGGGACTTTTTTCAGACAAGTATATATCTAAATTTTGATCAACAAATAATATACATGTACTACAATGGTATTCTCTCTTCTTTTTCAAATACGTTTGAAGCACTGCAAATACGGATGAGATTTAGAACGCGTGGAATTCAGGTAACTACATCTCAAAACAATATATTTTGTGTTTTATTTCAAAACACATGCACACAATCATGAAAAAGCAGCAATTTAATGGACTTGCCTGAAGCTTTTTTCCATACTATCACAGGTTTTGGAAAACCTTCTACTTTGCAATCCAAAAGCGTTGGTTCACCCAACTTCGCCGATCTACTTTGAGGCTCCACAACCCACGTTGGCGGAACTGTCACACAACAAAACGTATCTGATGTAGGAAGACCAAGTATTTAGAAAATAACATTTATGCACATATTTCGTAAACAAATGCTATGAAAGTGTGAAGTGTAATAGTTTTATAAATTTTGATTTACTTTCAGGAATGAGTAATACTTGTTAAGAAAAATAATGTGTTTCATGTAACATCAAGATGTAAACAATTGCAAGTCACAAAAAATGTTATTCTCTCGATGTGTTCAGGGAGGAATATATGAGGAGTATTTAAATTATATATTCTGGATTAGAACATAAAGCATTTGCTTACAAAGACGTCAGAATTATTTTCAGTTGCGGAAGAGAGATAAGATTAGCAACTGTGTGTGTATATATATATATATATATATATATATATATATATATATATATATATATATATATATATATATATATGTTTATCCATTCTTATTTATTCTGTATTCTAAATTCAATATACTTTCTCCATATTTCCCAAACGTTTGTACTCGTAATCAATTCTCGCAGAAACTTTGGAGCATACTTTCGTGAGAGATATCAGACCGTAAATAACGCTCTGCAACGTTACTCTCCAGAATATGTTGACCCAAGTAGTAAAATAATGCAACTTAAATTAAACATAAACATTATATCAGTATTCTGATAGCTTTGCTAACATTTGCGTGATTTTTGTAATTAATGACGTGAACGACAAATTGACAAAAGTACATGAGTTGTATTGGGAAAAGTACCAATGGTAAATACAATACAATATGTGAAAGGAGCTTTAAGTTGTACTGTATATTATTATACATTATTATACACAATATTATATGAAATTATATTTACCTATAATTCCATAATTTGTAATAAGTGCCGCGGTAATTATAATATTAACGTCACAATGAAAGTATTTTTCTCTATTTTATCATATTTTAAGTCGTGTGAAATGGCGTAAGCCGGACAGCAAAAAAACACATGGACTCGAGCCGCGATAGCCACATTTACATATGGCGTAAATAAGATAGCCTCTTTGTTTAATGTGTGCGAAATCGTGTATGGCTGAAAGTTATAGAAGTAAAGAAAAAAGTGAAAATTCGATTCCAAATTTTTAATTTTGTTAATCACAAATCAGTGATAATTGTCGTTAGTATTTATTATAGATTTGATTTAATTTTTGATTTAAAAATGTATGTGATATAACAACAAATACAAGATTGTACGTAGATTTTATGCTTCTTTTACGATTGAAAGGAAAAAAATACGTAAAAATAAAATAAAAACTTTTTGAAATGTTAGTAATATTCATTTTACTTCCACACGTTGTTAAATATTGTTGCAGATAGAGGGGTTTCATAGAAAAAAGTTAAAGGAACACGCTTAATGAAGGCAAGGTGGCAATCATAAGCGTAATTCAATATAGTTAAAAAAATTAAATATAAAAATTTCTAGTAAAAAATAATTAACAGGCGCCAAAGTCAAATTTGAATATTTCAAGGCCCAATGTATACGCAACCATTCTTCTGCAAAGAATATCGTGTACCACTCGTTCGGGAAAGAAATTTGTCAGTTCATTTAAAACATTTTTTTTAAATATATAAAATACTATCCTATCTCTCTCCCAGGTACTTTATTCGCTTCGCGTCTCACTAATGGAGGGTGGAAAACGAACAGGACAAGGATAGCGAAGAGCAGAGAGAAGGTAGAGGGTGCAGAAAGGCGTGCAGAGGCCGTGTTGCGTGATAGGTAGCAGACAAGCGAACACGGACACCGCCGGAATGGCCACATCTTTTTCAAGCGAACGAGATCTAATATCTAGGACAAGCAGTGGGCCAACAATGAAGCAGTTTGCCATAGATGTTGATTATTATAAAGACCTAAACATCAGTGCATCGGAATATTTTCAATAGGTTCTAGAACAATTCTCACGATTGAAAGTACAACTAGTTCTTAAAAAAATTGTAAACCGTAGTCATAAAATATGTTTTTTTTTCAACTTATAAATTAGTTAAAACATCTGTCATTCAACTTTTATATTTATGCATAATTGTATTATTTTCGTGACTATTAACTATTAAGTCATACATGTTAGGCAAAACGAAAAATTTGTTAATACATGAAAATATCAAAAATTAAACGCCGAATTATATTAAGGCTATTTCAATAATTAACCAAATTTATATAATAATTGTTTACGACTCATGATTTGTGGCCATTGTAAAAAAGGTATTAGGTTACTTAAAATAAAATAAACAAAATAATATTAGGTTTTTGTATAAGAGACAACAATAAATACAAATATTATTATTTAAATTTCTTGACAATCTGTATTGAATTATATTTCCGCACGCTTCACAGAGGACCACTGAGGTAAATCTTGACAGCAAGCACACAAATGTCATTGTCCAACGAACAGGTCCTGCGCATTTCATTAGCCTCTGTAAACTGGACTGACGCTAATTTCAGGTAGGCATGGCGCAATGCACGAGTTCATAGACACCGTATATTACAACAAGAGTATAACACTTTTTGTTATTCACATCAACAGGAAAGTGCAATATCAAAAAATTCAATAACAATACTGACATTGCCATTGATCTATTGAATAAAATTTTCTAATCTGGATATCCAGGAATACATAGCATGCGTTTGCTATTGAAAAGCAGTTCTAGGAAAAAATAAATGCCAGTAGCAGCTAGAGCAAGTTGCTGAATTAGAAGAGGAAGAAAACCGTTCGCTCTACTTTTCGCGAACCGTGCTTACCGAGAGCTAGTTGTTTATCCTTCTCTTCTATATTATAATAACCAAAACTCAAGAGTATTTTCATTAAACAAAACATAACAACCTCGGATGCATATCATTAAAAGACAAATTAATTAGCTATGCGTGTCTTTTCTTTAAAAATTCAAAATCAAAACTCGCATGCTAAAGAACCGCCACTATGTAATATTAGATCAATCAATAAACGGATAACGACAGAAAAGCGCAATTCTCTATTCGTTGAGACAATAATTTTTTTGTGAGACACGGACAATACAAAATGTTGCGGACCTCACATCATGAGGCTGTAACAACGTCAAAAGTGCCATAGTCTGTAAGACGAAACACACAAAACAAACAACATAACATCACGAAGATTACATATTTTCACAAGATTCAAGTATGAAGCAAACAATATTTCTACATGACAAATAAACATCAAGAAAAGATAAAGAAGCATGCCAATAAGCACCAGGTTACCTGCGTGGCTGGAAGAAGTAGTAGCCTATAAGTCAACCGCAAGTCATCCAACGCGGTGATAGTCAATACACGCACAGCTATCTCATTCCTGGACTGCGAAAGCAACGTAAGATAACGTAGTGGAGCATGCAAGGGAACAGAGGGAAATGACAGATAGGGGGCCCCTACGGCATCTTCATCACTAGCGAAAATCACTCTCTGCTACACCTTCCTTTATGAACATTATTAGTTCGGTAAATGAAATGAAAGTTTAAAACTATTATCTCAAAGGAAAGTTTTTGCAACTCATAAAACCAGACATTAATAATAATAAAGAACATCTTGTATTTTATTTTACGCACAGGACTGCAGCATCGAGTGCAACGTGCTCCGACTCAGTCGCAGTTGTGGAGTAGTGCGAAGTGCCATTGAGGGGACGAACTACCAGTTTGTTAGTTACCCGTTGACCAGCAGTTGGCCGTGAAGTTGTGGTCCTGCCTTGTTCGCCGCCAGCAAGTGTAGTTGCCCGCTAGCCTAGAGCTAACGCTACGATCCCAGGACACTAGATCTCTTCGTGGCTGATCATCAGCCTTCAAGGTCATCATCGGCTCGGTTGGCGGGATGCGGGCGTCCTTAGCCACCCCGTATGGTGAGTCGTCGCCTGCTCACTGCACGTCACTCGTACCTTCACCTCCCACAATAGCTCACCAAATGTGAATGGAGTTAATTCTGAGCATAAACACACACACCCACACACTCAACCAAACAATATATCTACGACCCCTCAAGACCTCTCTCGCTGACTGGCCAAATCGGAACTCGGAGGAAATGAGTTTTGGTGAGAAAACTAATCAAGTCATCTCTGGAAAACTACTATTGTACCAATGGCAGACATTAGAAAGATTAGAGCTAACAGTAACAGAGAAATTTTCAAAAAAATAATAACGCCAAAATTCTATGGAAAACGTCTCCTTAAATAGTTTTACTCGCTTTTTAACAATCACCACAATACTCGAATATATCCGCTCATAGTTTACAACTATAGAACATTTCTTTACTTAACTTGTCAATTTATTTGTGGTTAACCGTAATGGTCTGCTAAGGATAAAAGAATGAAAAACGAAGCCAATAACGAAATAATAATTTTTTAGGTACTTGTTTGATCTAAAAACTGAATCACCTTGCGTTGCTGGATTGCCTTTCCAGTTTTCGTTTCCCTATTTTACACTATTCTTTAACTATGTTTGAAGTACACTAATCTACATACGCGAAAACTCATTCTGTGACGGAATGGCATTAGCCAATTTCCGAATTTCATTAAAAAGTCGAGACGACTACGTCGGGACCCAACTACGTTGTGCAAAAATTCATCGCCTTCATTATTGCATCGCTTTTACGGTACACATTCTACCGTCTCAGACACTCGAAACGACTGGGGTTAATTTCCACGGAATTAATCCCTATGAAAAAAGTAAGTTCAAACATGGAAAATTTTTGCTTTCTCATTAATCTTTGAAATCTCGTCTTCAATCTAATTTCTAACTCTGGAATGAATATCCAAACAGAAATAGTAAATAACAAAGTATAAATATACATTTTTACGAAAATCCACGTGAATGGTTATGACTTTGCAGATAGGTTGGGTTTCATCAGGTAGGCATTCTTTAAATGATTCGTTCCCAATGTGAGGGCATGTAAGGAAGACTCGATAGTCATCACAGCCAAAGACTCTCGATTTCGTCGTCCATTCCCGGTCCGCGACGGATTGCAGTCGCCGCGACGCCTCTTGAGCGGCCTCCCGGGCTGCGACCTACCGTTCACGAGAGGCGCGACTCGCGGGTGGCGCGGGCCGCCGTTGCGCGCCACCATGTTAGTTCCCCCGCGGCGCGACAGCGGCTGATGCTCAGCACGCTCGTGAACTCGTCAGCTTAGGCATCACCACCCTTCCCTCGCTCGGTCAACCGCTGCCCTCTTCAGCAGTGATGTGGATCGGGTCGCTCTCTTACACCACTGACCCCTACCCGGTCCCCAATTAGTTGATCGGAAGCTGAAAGGTTACTTAGGGAACTGGAACAAAAAACAATCTGGTATAATTGGTTACAGTTTGCCACCTCTCCTCAACGGAGGGAGGACCGCCTTGCAAATTGCGAGCATGTTCGTCCTCTTTACTTCTCTTCATTGACTCTGCCAAATCGAATTTTAACCAGATCACGAATGGCGAAACGTTTCAACTACATGTTCTTAGAATATCAACTTTAAAACCAAGAATTAAATGTGTTCAAAATATGTGAAATTCTAATTTATTTTGCATCAAAATGCTCTAAATGAATGTAAAATAGATTCGTTATTAAATGATCTCGAAAATAAAAAAAATGAGGGGGAAGGCATCCCACAGAGACACAAGTGTAATAAATTGTTATTTATCCATGAAAAAATTTATTCAACACAATGGAGACGACTTCTCCGAAAACCTCACGAAGGAAGATCTATACAAATTCTGCTTCAAGGCATGACGAACACGTAAAAAGTCATCAATTATAATTTTGAATATATTATAAAATAATTCTAGCACAACTTGTTTTTATAAATTAAAAAAATAAAATTTTATTATAACTGAGCGGATTTTAGAAAGCGATTTTTCTTTCATGTGAACAATCCCGTTTAGGGAATAAAAATACTTTTATGTTATGACGTAACAAATACACGATTTAAGTGAAATTTGTTTCATTCGTCAAATTTTTACTATACGTATTTTTTTAAACTTTTACGTTCATTTAATGCATCCAGATTTCATCGATTTTAAATATAATTTAATGGCTACTACTTCAACACTGTACTGTGCCAACAAATGTTCACCACAGAATTCTGAGAGCCTATTCCATTTCTTCGCTCTATATTTTATGTCAGACGTACAGTCTATTTATCTATTCCTTACCTATCGATGTTTTGTCAGTTTCGGGAGATTTCGCGATAATGATACAGAGAGATTTCTTTTTAAAGAACATCCAAACCAAGATTCAAACTTGATTCCTTGAAACATAGTTCGTTCTTCTGAAGTGTTGATAGTGGAAACATAAAGAGCCACTAGAAAAAATTTGGAATAATAAAAGTATTACACCAATTTTATTTGTCTTCTTTATCAGTATCTGTGCCAACTTACTGAAATCCTGGCAAGATTTTACGTACACTATTATCATTTTCAGTAACATACGACACTCATCCGAAATTCGATTTTTAAAAAGCAAGAATTTTATCCATATAATGAGAAATCTGGATTTTAATATGTCATAAATTTAAGCTTACTGTGATAATTTGAGATACTGTTTCATGTATCAATTAACAATAACAATCTCGTGAAAGAAAAAAAAAGATTTTGAAAATATTGCTGCTAATCAATAAAAAATTCTGACGTCTATATAGAAAACGACTGTCTATTTTTATATTGAAATGCGTTTTGGACATCGTTTTAAGCAGATTTTAAATATCTCACATTCAGTGACAACTCAATTTGCAGTAACGACACTATCTATTTAAAATAAATTACTCACCATGACATTGACTTGTGCAGTGCACCCGATCATCTCCTGTTTGTTAGACGCGACACAACGGTAAACTCCATCGTTCTCCGATTGCCGTTCTCGATCACAAATTGTTCCGTTCGGGAACACAGATTCGTGTTTGAAAGGAACAGTCTGTCTCTCCATCCCCACTGTACAATCATTCAGAAATTCTTAATTTTTCCGAAGGAATATTCATGTTCGTATATCCATTACATCTCGAATATATTCTGAATTCATAAAACTGAAATTATAACAGCAGGTATCGTCAACTTAACAAAAATCTTATTATATTGAAAAGCTAAAACATTGAACTCTTACCTCTGTACCACTTTATGAATCAATGGATACCCGATACGGAAAGTGATTGACTAATTCTCTCCTTGCAACTGGGCCGATATTTTCTCCATAGCTGTACATTGGTAACCTTCAACAAAGCGAGAATGTTAGAGAATATAGAATATTGAAAACTTACAGGTTCTACTCGGACAATATGTAATCAAACACCACATTTACCATAGACATTCCATTTCGCGGCGTGTGTAATTTCTCCCCTCTAGTGACCCTGCATGATTAACGATCCTCATCGTCACTCGCACATTGTGATAATGTTCACTGCTGACGACGTTCTCCATTCAAAGAACATACTGCCTATTACGAATCTGAGTAAAGTATGCATACGTCATATCTTTGTATTTGGAGGGTTAAACTTGAAATTAAAGTTTATTATATTACTAGATGCAAAAAAATAAAAAGTAAAAAAAAAAAGCGAATTGCAAAACAATGTTACAAACGATTAACGTATAACAAAAATATTTAATGCATTACTGCACTAGAATAGTATTTTTAAAATCTTACCTATCGCTTTGTTATTTAAACCCATCAAGGTCAACTTGATTTGCGGATCGGATTGCCAATGCCACAACATTTAAGGGAGACCGAAGTCCTGTTGAGTCGCCTTATAAAGAAACACCAACACAGAGAGGTCTAAAAAATAGAAATGATTTATTTTGTTGGTTGCAAATTTTATAATTAATGAGCGTTTAGCATCATTTCGGCATATTTAACTTGCATAATTATTCACCCAACACGTCTTCCTATTGCTAAATACCTTGGTACTTTTGATGACAAACGGTATCAACTAATGGAATACACTATTTAGAAGCTATACATTTACTGAAAGTTAGCAAATCATAATTAGTCTTCCGGGGCGAAACTTTTACTCTATGTTAATATCAAACAAAATTAATTTTCTTGTATATCAAAACGAAAAAAATGCCCAATTTAAAGCGAATTGGAGTAAAAGACCTTGTTCGCTATGCCACTGCACATTGAATATCATATATTACACACAATCTACAAGGACTGAAAATGCTTTGCAATTTTCGTACCTTTCCGCTGGCAATTCGTACAGCTTAATTTTATAATAATATTTATTTAAGTTAAACCATAACATAATCTCAGAAATCATTTCATCTATTACTTCGACATTCATCTGAAAGCAAATAAAGGAATGTTTAGAACGAATTCCTCGAGTATTCGATTCTGATGGGCATTTTAGCGAGGGTTGTACTTACAGGTTATTACGACTTGACATCTATTAAATCCACACACGTCGTTCACTGCGTCTCTTCGGTAGACTGCCATAACGAACCAACTGTAATTAACCATCACTTCAGTGTGACAGATTAAACCAACGACTGACAGTTCGTGTATGTAGTTGTTGTCTGTCTCCCGATCTAGTCGTCTTACTTTCGCTCGCTAACCCCATCCTAACGTTTATCTAAATTTGTTTCGCAACAAAATGTCATAAGACATCAGGCATGCAGTGTTGTTCGCATATCTCGAACGTTCTAACTTGCAGCCTTTTCTATCACGAATTCTTAAAATATCCTCACCCTTTTTATAGATTACTCATCATATAATGATTATATCAATCTTATTATGATACATACAAATTTAGAATTCGTGTATCTACCAATCTATGAGTTTACTCACCTTCCATCCAAGGCGCAGCGCGGGTCTGCTCTGTGCCCATGTCGTGCTCGTCTCTTTGTACGAAGCACTCAGTACATCCTGAGTTCGTCTTTTTGACACTGGCCTGGCAAGCGTGAGCACTGCGCCCGCCCCGTCGCGCCCGCACGCTGGCTCTCTTGAGCCTAGTGCAGCGCGGCGACGATGGCCCGCGGACGGCGCACCGAAGAATTGTTGGGGCCTGCCCAGGCGCGTGAGCAGCGGCGGCTGCACGCCGCCCTCCAGTCATCTCGGTCACCTCCCTCCATGTCGCGCTCACCAGCAGGCTCTACATCAGGCGCGCGCTGCCCGCCGCGTTGCTGCTCGCACGTTGTAGAGGCCGAGTGCGGGCGCCGCCCGCGGCAGCACCAGCAGCCCAGCCCACGGCGTAGCGCTTGCTCGCTCCTGGCTAGCGGGCCCCCCGTCCATCCTCCCGACCTCGCAGCGCAACCCGTTCCCGTATTTCATTTACAATTTTGGAAAGTGTTCTTATTATCTGAATGAGGACATTCATTCCAAACATTCCTCTATGGCCGGTTGATTGTACCCTCACGATTACGCCCGTGCGCCCAGACTCAGGGTCAGCCGTCCGACTGTGGCTGATTTCCTACTATAGATAGTACAGTCAAGTCTGCCCCGCTGTGGGGAGGAGAATTTATAACCGGCCGTGCTCTAATCAGTAGTTTTTCACGTGTATATGCTTCTGATCAAGAGGTTGATGCCTTAACCACATCTGTGCCGGCGCACGAACTAATACTTACATTAACTACACTACTACACATGTCGGAAACTATCTAGCACGTTTCCGGATAAATTATAGTGCCTCGCTTGGAAACTTGGATTAACCTTGCTAGCGCACGTCGATGCTCCACTTAATGAAGCTCGGGTTACACCACCAGTAATACAAAAACATTTACTACCGCTAATTGCTGGACAATACCTACAAGTTCACGTTGAAACCACTCAATTAATTAATCCCTTTTTGCCTAGTTGCTGATACTTCTAGAGAAAGGATGTGTGGGCTTTATCTCTTCATCTCCTGATCTCTCTTCCTTACTCAAATTATCAACCAAGACGATCCAAAATACGGTAAAGAAAAGAAGTAAGGTAGACCATGGTAGTATTCCTTTTTTCCCATCTGGTGTCTTCTTTTGACTCTGTTGTATTAACTGAACCTCATAACGAATAAATAGTATACTTTTATTATCCCACGGTATAACACAAACACGTGCCTTGTGCCTCTACGTGCCCACACGCTCTGTTCACTTTATGTTTGACCATGGCCTGATGGAAGCGTATGTTTTTATTGACATCAATTAAGTGCTTTCTATACACCAATGGTTGTATGAAGCCATATAGCTCATAATCAACTGTCGAACTTATAAATCAACTTTGTGATAACTCTGCTGAGAAATTAAAACTCTTTCACAGTTAAATCCATTTTTAAACTGTCCTCTCTCTACTTTTCTCGTCTTTTCCGCTCAAACACTTACACTTCCTCTTTAGAATATTGCTGAACATTCACGAAAGTTTGTCAATCCTTAGGAAAAGAGTATTTATAGTTTGAGAATTCGACCTAAGGAAATCGGTAGAAGAATCGCGTGCAGCGTTCCCATATCAAGGTAACTGCTCCGCCATGTCGCCTGCAACGATTCAGGAAATCACCAGATATAAGAAACCAATGATCACTTAGTCCGCTAACGAATTTGATTCTCAGCAGCAGCCTAAACACGCCAGCGATTTTATTCCGACTCCCTGGCAAGCATCGAACCCGCTTCCAATGAGCAAACACGCTCGCCTCTTAAGACCTTATTGCCGTAACGCTAGTCGCTACCTAGCTCGCGACAATATTTCTTAATATGCAATAATTAAATCGTTATAGTCCACTTCCATAATACCAATACTTTCTACAGCTCAGTCCTCACTTCCAGACGTTCGAGCCGACGACGTGTTTCTACCTGCTGCAATGGTCTCGACAGACAAGTGCGGCGGGCATCGGCGTGGGTGAGGGTACCTGCCGCGCGTGGCGGTGCCCGGAGGACGCGCAGGGGCTGGCTACTGCGGAGGCGGCTTCGCGCGCAGGGATGAGCGTGCTTTTTGCTATCGGGGGTGAGCTGAATCCCGGCCCCCCCCACTAACTTCCGCAGATCATTCACAATTTTTAAAACCATAACAATAAGAATGATAGACAGGCTCGATTAATTACAGCTAGTGACGCGCGACACGTGCATCGCTGCAGATAGCCACGAGCGCTGTGCGCAAGTGGATTACCGGGGGAAAACCAGTCGCGGTACCGTAACAAATATCATTGTATGGCCTCTATCCCAGAGCAGTCTATGTCATGGGCTGATTCGGAAAAAATGCATTCTGGTTAGCTGAAAGGCAGCTAGGTGTCAGGCTGGAGCCCACGACATTCGAGCCGCGAACCGACCGCAGCGCGGAGAATCCTCGAATGATTAGTGGCCAAGCTGGCTACTCATTCAGGAAGCGTAGAGTCATGTCTGCAGCCGGGCACTCTCCCAGGTAGATGTGCGCGTCCAGAGACTTGAGATGGCAGTGCGACAACGTAAGGCGTTAATCCGCCTTTGCAGGAGCGAAAGCAGGGAGAAGCGTCCATTTCGTTCACAAAGCTTGTGTGGCAGGACGCAGCTTCGTCACTGGCGACTTGCGGCCCGTCCGCGGCTTGGGAGGGGCTGGCCGGCGTGGCCCCGTGAACGCTGTGAGGGGCAGAACCCCTAGGAGGCGGAAACCCTTCCGACAATCGGGCGCCTGCTCAACGACCCCCCCGCCACCCCGTGGCGGACCGCGCGCCACCTGCAGCTGCACTCGTTCGGGGCGACGGGACACCTCTGAACCGCGCATCAACATGCATCAGCGTCACGTTCGCGCCGGCGTCGCGCTCCTCCCGGCGAGCTCACGGCACTCGTTCGGTGCCGGCGGTCGCGCGATATATCTCTGGTAGCAGAGTACCAGCGCACAGGCGATGCACGCCAATATGCAGCAACAGGAAGCTCTGCAGTGAATCTCTGCCCAACATATTTCACCAAATAGCCAGAATAGGTTTTAAGAAATAGAAGGTGTTAACATCATATAGGGCTAGGCTCTAACTCGCGGTAATCAAGATTCATGGCTACATTAAACACGTATTTATGTAATTGTTCGTTGAAAACTTGTAAAGTGAAGGTGATAAAACGTTAACTGATGTCTGTTTTTTTACACCATAAAAAATAAAAACGAAGAAAAGTTCCGGAATCCCGGTGTGTAGCGTGCGTTTCTTTCGGACTAGCTAATTCAGGTATATTAATGAA